AATCTTGGATCAACCATTTTGGCATTTAACTGATTTATTTGTTGCAAATTTATTTGTCCACCTTTTCCATTCCACCTCAAGACACATTGTCTCACTGTACTTATTATGTTCACTTGCCATTGTTAACGTTTTAGATTAATGAATCATTCTTTTCTTTGTGTTTCCTTGATGTCTTGTGCCGATTCTTCGTTGCTGTAAAACGAACAATAGAGGGTGAAAACCTTCAATGTAATGTAACCAATTGAAAGAATTGAGAGCATGAATGTGTAATGAGGCTCAATTTCAATGTTGTCTGCAAGATTATATGTTAAACGATCAATGATATTCAATCTATTTGAAAGAAACTAGATTATTGCTCCCTTGAAAGCATATTTTTGGGGATATTCATTCCAAGTTGACATACATGTATTATAGCATACATGTATGCCATAGAATATTGCCACAAACATGACTACCGGTACCTATCACAATTTATATTAAATAAGCCAGTTTCGTAATGTAACCAAATTTAATGCATACGTCTTTGTGAAGTGCCTCAATACAAATTATTTCATTCACCTGATAAGAATAATAGTATTTCAATAGTCAGAATGCAACTGCATATATTAAGTTGTTGCCAGGTTGGACAAACATTATGGCTTGACCTACCTAGCAACACTTAATATATGCAGTTGCATTCTGACTATTGAAATACTATTATTCTTATCAGGTGAATGAAATAATTTGTATTGAGGCACTTCACAAAGACGTATGCATTAAATTTGGTTACATTACGAAACTGGCTTATTGCAGTGACATATTCTGGCTTAATGCATCGTACAAATACATGCATAATATGTGATGCAAGTATTAAAGTCCTCTTCGAAATCTACATTCCAAATTGTGCATTTATAGTCCACCCTCCTTATTGTGTTGAAACAATATGCATCAGTGGACAAATTGTTAAATGTTGTAAAAATTTAAATCATGGTCACTCAATAACTGTAATCTTTTGACTTATATTTGTCACTGCTGCATAATTTGACCAACATCACACATGCTCATAAGTAAAAGTGGTGCATTGCAGTTGGTCCAAGGAAAACACTGCTATGTGCATGCACTCCCATGCTCCAATGTATTGACTACATAAACATAGGGATGGATGTATATGGGGCAAAGGTCAGAGGATTTGTTTTCCCTACTTGAAGTGCCTGGTTAAAAAAATGTGTCCTCTCCTTAACAACCTAATGGCATACATTATATTGCTACCAGGGTGGTAAATGATTGCAATGATCAGTAGATTTTGTCAGTTACACACTTACAAATATTGCACTTTAAAATGTATTTAATATCAGACTATGTTGTGAGAATATTTCTGTCTTTGCATTCAGAAATGACCCAATTACATAGAGGAATTAATGAAAATCAATACCAAAATAAAATTATAGCTGTTGACATGATATTTAATGAATTCTTATACTGAGTGGAACAACATATCAATGTTTTCTTACATGAAGGAAGTGATTATACTATAAAAAAATAATTGTTTCTGTACATTGTTAACAATGGGTAACTCTGTTATGGAGAGGACATTCAGTTTAACATTGCATTAGTGTGAGATACTGACCATCTATAGATATGTAGATGGAAAATCACATTTCATGATATTAAATGGAGGCATATTATTATTGTATACCAGTGCCATAGATAGTGCAAGCCTCAGTGCTTTAATATATGAAGAAAATACCTGTTATGGAGAGGACACACTTTTAACGGAAAATAAAGTCATCAAATTAACCAAGCAATAAAATATATATCACATATTTTGTTCATTGATTTGAGACATGTCCTCATTTTCAAACATTCTGAAGATTATTTAAATAGAGTTTAGGCCCATATATATCATTTTAAGTCACTGCTGCTGGCCTCAATGTTATGGAGAGGACATGTTTTTTAATTTTAACGGAAAAGATGCCTTTTACAAAAATATTCATCATTTTCACATTTATTGGTCAAATTTGGTCAAATAAGTTTTATGATGTTACATAGTGGCTGTGCTGACACTAAAACATTAAAATTTTACACAACTCTCAATAGATTCATGTAAAATATCAATGAACATTATCAAAATTATGAAATGAGAATCCCTTTTCCGTTAAAAATGCACTAAAAATGCTGAAATTAACAGAAATAATGTTTGCAGTGTTATGAAAATTGAACTGTAGGTTGCTGTTGATAAGGTCCATCAAATAAAATGGCCAACATAAAATAATAATTGTTTAAAAGATGCCAAAATGGGGAAAACCCCATTTTTCAAAAAGTGTACACTTAACGTGAAATGACCCCATATGTAATATGTGAAATATAATGTAAAATATGTAAATGAAATAAATCAATTATAAATAAAATGTGAATATGAAAAAAATTAATGTTCTTGAAGAACATAAACTTTGAAAAACTTTGAGTCTATGAATAAACAGATTCATGTACAACTGAATACCTCTACAATTTTGATATTGCCTGTTTTTCTTCTTTATTTTCTGGGTATCTTCCATTTTTTTTAAATGATTAATTTCCAATATATTTGTCATGATTGTCGTGTGGATGAAAGAGTCGAGCTAGTTGCGTTTCATTAAAAAAAAAAAAAGGATATGTGGGGCCCATAAAACATTAATTTCCATGATAAATGATGATTATATATTATTTTTGCATGATTTTGAAATTGAATAAGTGTTTTTTGCACGATTGCAATATTCAAACATTAACAAAGAAAGATTTTATCGTGCAAAAGTATGAATTACATGAGTTACATTATTAACTTTTAAACAAATCAACAAAACATATTTATTAATATTTGTATTTAAAAAAAAAAAAAAAAAAAAGATAGACTAGATAGGGAATACACTGACATTAACACGTGAACAATACAACAAAATTGTCTTTTATTTGCAAAATTTAACAAGGGTAATCTATTTGGGCAAAATTTCAATGATAGAGAGTAATTATTATCAATTTCAATGTTTATATATGAAATCCGGCTTCTGGTTGAAATGATGTCACTTTTTGGAATGTTTACATATATAAAGCCCACCACAAGAGGGCAGTAAATATCATGCGCGAACTTTGGTCACACTTTTTTACAGACGTCGGTAGTGGTAAGCCTTCCGATTTTCTCGTGTAATCATTGGTTTCAAGTAAACAAAGCCTTGGAATGTTATAGAATCTGATTATATGATAAATTAAGATTCTTATGACGTATGGAACATGATATATGTTGATCTGGATGTTTTGTAACGTGCAAGAAAAGAAAAATATCCGCGAACTTTGGTCACCCCTTCATACTATACTGGGGGTGTGTGCAGGTGGACCACTACACCAGGGTTTCCCCCTACTCTTATACGAATAGTGCGTTGGGTTCTTAACGTGCAAAGGTAGTGACTCTTCTCTACACGTAACTCCAGGAAGCTCCAACACCACCGGCGCCGGTGTTGGAGCTTCCCGGAGTAACTCTACACGGGGCCTCCATTTAACGTCCTATCCGTGGGACGGAGTGTTTTCCACTTGACATAACCTGCGTCTATGAACAAGGGAAGGGCCGAAGGGGCACGTTAACACACGACGCAGGCTTCAGTCATCCGCTTGGGTGGGAGTCAAACCCGGGATCTTTGGTTTGACAGACGGACGCTTTGGCCAATTTAGCCAATACGATCATACCAATTCAGCTCCACTTTCAAAAAAACATGGTGACCATTAATTAGTTATTTGATTTAAAATAACAATACATGAGCCGGCTAATTGTGGATAATATAAGCAACGCGAAAATACCAACAAAAATGCCGACATCGCATTGACTGAAATACGACGTAAAAGGCGTTATTTCGTTTTTTTCAACGTTTTTTTTCAAAGTTTTCAAAATATCCAATATTTGTGGTGGTACACAAGTATTAGAAATCGTTATATTTCAGCGTTTCTGAACCGATTTTGATCAAACAAAGATGATTTTGTCATTTAAATATTATGTTCTTTCAAATTTGACACTCACTTTTTCATTATCTCACAACAAAAATATTTTGTGTAGCGCCCTCTGCAACAGAACTCAACTATCCCTTTACATCAATAATAATGATTAATATGCTAGTAACAGTCATTGTATTTCAAGTAAAGCTGTTATGAATTCAGTTTTAATACCATTACTGTAACTATCTATGATTATGTTTTTTGGGGTTGTAAATCATTTACCAGTGAAAAACACATTTCCAAAAGGACAATAAATACTTAATTAATTTAATTAATAGAACATATAAGCCACATTTGAGCATTGCTCACTGATGTCCATGTCCTGCCAAGCCCTGAATCATTTCCAATTGGTGATTATGAATCTGTCAATATTTTCACTACTAAATGGAATTGAGGAGACAATGTGGGCTTTCTACAATTATACCTTTGACATTTATCCCCATGAAGATTACTTCTTTCATTTTATGTCTCTTGCTTTTTTACCTCTGTTTTTTTTGTTACCACTGGTATGTTTACTTCTGACATTTTTTACCTCTGGCTGTGAGATTGTTAATCTTTAAATTTGTTACTTCTTATATTTTTACCTCATATATATTTACCTCTGAACGTTTTCACCTCTTATATTTTTTTTTTACCTCTGGACACTTTTACCTCAGGCATTTTTGTCTCTGGCATCTAATACCTCTGATATCTTTACCTCTGACATTTTTACAACTTCTGTGATTGTAGTAGATCTACTTGAAACTTGAAACGGTAGTAGGAGTCTATTTATATCTTATTTATCTTTCAATTTATTACTATCTACGGCTTGTTGTAACCTTTAATATTAAATCTAGTTTGATCGATCTCTCTATTGATTCTATCAGTTAATGTTACAATAGCTTATCTATGTTATGAAAGACTTTTTCATTGATTAAAATCCCGCTATCGCCAGAATCAAAAGGATGAGAATTTTCCTGTTTCTAATCTTAGTAAACTCATTTCTCTTTAATCTTGGATTGCAGATTGTGTTCAAATTCCTACTGTGCTTGTGGGAGATCACCACTCTGTGAATAACAAAAACATCTAGCAACACTGGGGAGACATTTGGAGACCCGTGCAATTAAAATGTCAGATGTAGATGAAGGCTCCTTTGTTGAGTCTGATGAAGCAGGCCCACAATGGGAGGATGGAGGTGACCCTTACGTGGTCAGCTTCGACGAGGATGATCAACACGAGACCAGTTCAGATGGATCCAGCAGTGATTGCGGCGATGTCCTTCTTCCGTTCGAGAGTGAGCACCCCAACAAGTACGTTCCTTGGGCGATGAAGCAGTATCCGCCAGACGTTATCGAGGCATGGACCAGGGTTCACAACTGTACACTGTCTGGCAACCATCAACTTGCCTCAGAGTTCTTGGAGAAGTTGTCAAAAGAAGGTATGTACAAGTTTTCACAGTTTACTTGCATATTGTTATGGTGTAATAATTTTTTGAAGGCCATCTCTAACCACTTATCTTCATAAAAATTTGGTGGTTTTGTGAAAGATTGAAAAGTAATGCAGAGAAAACACAACTAGGCATACCATGTCAATTCATGAAGATATCATCTGCTCAGATCCATATGGACATGAAATCATATACTTGATTTGAAGGACATCCTTCTGGCTCTCAATAGATGATAAAAAGACCTAAGAATTACTATTCAGGGTAGTCCACAAACAAAAATTCAAACATGTAAACATTGGAGTATGAACTTATTTATGCGAAGTTCAGGGTCCTTTGTGGCAGGGCTCCAGGGCTTGCTAAAGAACTCTAAGGTTCTTAGATGAGCGATCTGTAGAAGCATTTCCAAATACATTTTATGAATGATGTATCATACATCATTTTGGTTGACAATGAATACTTACAGGTACCTGTTGCAGATTTTTCAAACCTGTGCAATGTAAATCAAAACCTGTAGCTGACGTTTAAACCTTTACAATGAAAATTCACACCTGTCGCTGTTACATGTTTAAACCCCTAGAGTACCACCCTGCGGCTTCTAACAGATAGGGGCTTAGTTTGAATGAACATACTTGGCAGATGAGTCTCATCAGACAACATTATTTTCTTTTTCCTCAGTACTGGACCAACCAAACCATGAAGGAGAGACACTGCTCTACATGGCTGCCTTCAGAGGACACACCCATATGGTCTCCACTCTGCTCAAGGCAGGAGCGAACCCACACAAAGGAGATGAGTTCTTTGACATGACTCCGCTCTTTGTGGGTAAGCTAAAATCATAGGGTGGTATTCCCAAAATAGTCATCCATCCGACTAAGTATGGAATGCCAAGTGTCCATATGAATATAGTTTTAATTAATATGATATGTCCTTAAATTACCATGATAACATAATTATTTCATAGATATATTGTTGTAAACTTGAAATTAACTAGATGTTATTACAAAATATTTCTTTAATGAAAACATTTTATTTTCATTTAGTGACAGATTAATTTATTCAAATACATATTCATATGGACACTTGGCATTCCATACTTAGTCATAGGGTTGAACCATGGACTATAGTTAGTCCGCTTTCAAGAATACCACCCATATTCTCCTGATAACTGATGATGCAGAATATTCTGTTATTACTCTTCTTGTATCCTCTGCATGTATTTCATGTCTGAATGTTCAAATCAATGTGCTACTATTTATTAAAGACTTCATAGCCATGTCTTTGAATTCGAAGAGGTTGAAATCCCAAACTTATTGTAAAAGCATCATTGAAAGTTTCCAGTAAATTTTGGATTGAGATTGTGTAAGTACTGTGTTCTCTGATTTGTTTTGTTTTTGTTTTTAGTGTATTTTATTGATGTGCTTGTGGGGAAAAAGTTTTAAATAATGAATATTTTAACTTACTCTAGCTCACTCAAGGAATATTTGGTCTTTCCTGAACCCTTCAGTAATGGTATTTGATCTCTCTCCCACTCTCTCTCTCTCTCTCCCACTCTCTCTCCCAATCTCTCGCTTTCTCTCTTTCTTTCTCTCTCTCTCTCTCTCTTGCTGCCTCTTTCTTTTTCTCTCTCTCTCTCTCTACATATAGCTGTACAAAACTGCCACATTGAGTGCGTCAACAAGTTGCTGGAGTACGTCCCTGTCAATTTTGAGAACAACAGTGGTTTTACTGCCCTCTTCAAGGCAGCTCAGTTCGGACCGAATAAAGCCATGCTGGGATTCATCAGCCGACCTCCCCCGTACCTGCAGGAAATACTGCATGAAGCGAGCCCTCAGAATGAAGTTATTCTTGATACTCTGCTTGAAAAAGGTAATTATAATTATAGTGATATAGTATGGGTTCTTGTATAGCACTCATGTCTGTCATATTTAATTTACTGTTTTACCTGGGCTTTAGCATGGCTGCTATTACAGCACTCTTAGCTTTTCAAGGAACTAATTTCTAACTGGGTACCACTTTTCTTCACTCGAATGGAGAGTGGCAAATGCAGATTAATGTCGTGCCAAAGGACTTTACATATAATGACATATGGAGCTGTGACAGGGATTTGAGCCCTATACCATGTGCTTGATGAAAAATGCATGATATCATTTGTTGAGAACGAGACAGTCAATATATATCATTTCATTTTAAGTTAAGTTTTAATGCTCTTCTGGCTCTCGGCAGACAAAACTTGCTGAAATATGGCACTGTTTAGTTTAAAAGGAAAGGTTATCAGGTTTTCCAGGATTTACTGTTATTTTTGTTCCCAGTACCTAATTACCTAATAAACTTTTTCTTTTCTAAAACAAAAATCTGTATGCACCTGCAGACACTACCAGTTACAGAGAATTTTCATTTCTAAAGCACCAAAAATGAGCAGTCTCAACGTTCTTATTATAAAGAGAAGCACTGCACCTAATCCTAACCCTTCACCTTGCAACCTTATCTCCTATCCTAGCCTTATATCTATGATGAAATAAGAAGAAGAGTGTCAAGCAAATGTTGCCAGAGCAAAAGTTGTGTCACCTTAATATACCTCAAGAAAATTCAGTGTTTCTCTTAATCTTGCTTGACCAGGAGCCAATGTGAACTTTACGTCTAAGGTTGGACTCACCCCACTCTTGGTGGCCACACGAGAAAACAATGTGTACGCTGTGAGGAGGTTACTGGAGTGTGGAGCTGATCCCATGGCCCTTTACAAGCATCCTATCTCCTCCATGAAAGCACCTCTCTCAGCCCTTGACATGGCCGCCGAAGACGAGAGCACGGAGTAAGCAATTAATTTGTTACATTTTGAGATTCAACTTCACTTTAATTGACTGTTGTTCAGTTTTTGTTTATTTTTAAACTGCAGATAACTTGTGATGACCTATTTTAGTTGTTCTAAAGTGTGTACCAAGTGAAACATAATAATTAATTCCATCAGTGTCTAATAATATATACATTGCTATGTAATAAGTATTTCTGAATAATGTTAAACATAGATTAGATTGCATTTTCCCCCCTTAGATATTATTGTTTACACCATTATAACAATAAAATCACATTATTTTGCAGGCAAATGTTTTTTGTTCTCTTTAGGATTCCAATTTTTCAACTACAATCTCAATATTCTGAACCTGATAATAAGTCTTGTTTTGTTCTCCTTTGCAGATCATTAAGAGTCATCCTAGAAAAATGCAGTGATAATAAGCCCTTGATGTCCAGAAACAATGCCATGTGCTTGGCAGTTCGCAAGGGGAATCTACCCTGTGTTCAAGCACTTATTGATGCAGGATTCGATGCCGATATGGGTGTGAAGCTACCACCCACAGAACTTGAGCAGTTCCGATCATCGCAGGATGCAGTACCCATCCTCACCTGCATTGACAAGGTGAACCTTGAACTGGTGAGGTATCTCCTGTCCAGAGGCGCATCACCTCTTTATTGCAATCTTCCTATCGCTGAGCCCCTGGATCGGTGTCCTCTCTACAATGCTTTCCTGAAGAGCAACACACTCCTGGAGATCCTCCTCATGAACTGTGCTGACATGAAATCTTGCCCAACACTCAGAGACATCTCTTTTCCCATCACTGAACTCGGTGTATGGGAGCAGTCACCGCCTTGCTTTGAACTTGTATTGCAGGCTGGATTTAGACTTGATTTAGACTCTATGACCTTTGATGATATTCGTTTGCACCGAAGAACTGTCAAGGAAGTGGCCAAGATTTGGTGGACGTATACTGATGAGATTCCAAGGAATGAACATCTTATTGAAATTCTTGGTACCTTACCTGGTAAGAAAAAAGAAATATTTGTCGTAATTCTTGTTCATCATTTATTCTGTTCGAGAATAAGCTTCAATTTGATTGTTATGGTTCACTGAAGGTGGTGCCAGAAGCATTATGTTTCTGGGTTGTCTGTCAGATAGTTCCTTTGTCTATTTATTTGTCTGTCTGTCCGTTCGTCTGTCCGTACATCTGTGCGTCCTGCTTTCTTTATCGTGATGTCTCAAGAAAACTTGGAGGTACGATGTTCGAATTTCGTGCTAGCTTATGTTTCACCATAGGAAGACCAACTGATTAGAGCTTGGGGTAAGTGGGTCCAAGGTCAAAGGTCATAGGTCTCCAGAACCATTTGGGTCATGAAGTTCATAATTGGGCCTTATATGCTGTGAGATACAGCCAGTAGAGATTTTGCAGCAAGAAAGTCAAAGGTTGTGGAGTTAATAGTCATAAATTATAGGGTTTCTTGATAATCATTTGAGCAGTGAACTTCAAACTTTGCATTGGTATTCATAAGAAAACTAGTTGGCATAAGGTGTCAAGTACATGTGTAAGGTCAAAGGTCATTTTTGGGATATTTGAGGGTATTTTCTGTGATGCAATTTCAAGTTAAGCATGGATTTTCCACAGATTTATTTCTTCCTCATTTCAAATATTGTACATCAATGAAAACATTCAGAGACGAAAATGGTAATAATAAATAATAATAATATGGATATTTATATAGCGCCGGTATCCGCCAGGCTCTGACGCTCATGGCGCTGTACATACATGTATTACTATCACCAAAAATATAACTTTCTTAACTAAAATAAAGTAAACTAAAACAAGACAAATTATTACGCTACATTGACATGATTAAATAGCACTGTTTAGAAAGAGATGGGTTTTTAGAGCAACTTTGAAGGCATGAAGGGTAGTTAAATTATGAATACTAAGTGGCAGCTTATTCCAAAGGGACGGACCAGAATGAGAAAATGCTCTATCCCCCCAGGAACTGCGCGTCTTAGGGACAACTAATAAGGAGGATTGAGATGAACGAAGATGTCTTGTAGGCTTATACTTAACAATAAACTTGATATTGTAGGAAGGAGCAGAGTCATACAAAGAATGGAAAACTAGCAACAACAACTTAAAAATAATTCGGTCACATACCGGGAGCCAGTGAAGAGTTTTGAGAATGGGGGTGATGAGGGTTCTACGAGAAGAAAGTGTGACAATACGTGCAGCAGTATTTTGCAGTTTCTGGAGTCGAGAAAGTTGTGTGTTAGGGAGTAGATAGAGAATAGAATTACAGAAATCTAAGCGTGATGAAATAAGAGCATGTACAAGTTTCTCTGTGGTTGAACGACTTACGTATTTCCTAATAAAACCTAGATTTCTTAGTTGATATCTGACTGACTTACAAATACTAGAAACATGAGTTGGCAATGACATAGACGAGTTTAACATGACACCAAGGTTACGACATTGCGAGGAAGGACTAATTACAGAATCTGATATGGATATATTGAACGACTGTATCTTAGCAAGATTTGATTTTTGAACCCAATAAAATTAGTTCAGTTTTACTATCATTCAGTTTGAGTGAGTTCAAGTTCATCCAAGTTTGGTAGCTATTAGCTATGAATTAAATTAATCTTGGCAGAGGCATATCTGAGTTGCAGTCGCATTCATTTTCTTATCTTTGAAATTTCTACATTTCATTGCTATTTTAGTCACGATTTGCCATTCATTTCATTTTTTTAAATAACATATCTCTTCACTACATTCTTTAATACTAAAGCCAGACATAATGTGACACATTTCTACTTCATTTATCTCTTGTCTCAGAAATGCCTCGGTCGTTGGCCGATCTGTGTCGAGTGACGATACGAAGGAGCATCTGCTTTCCCAAGCTGGCCAAGCCTTCAGAGTCTGTGCAGCTCTTGCCAATACCCCAACACTTGCAGGACTACATTGGACATGCGTGAAAGGTATGGAGTCGGGTATGAGTCAAACTTCAACACTTGCAGGACTACATCGTACAAGCATGAAAGCAATGGAGTCGGGTATGAGTCAAACTTCAACCTTGGTACATCTGGAATACATCTATTTTATTTGCTGCTGTAGGGCTTGTTGGTTCTATTGACTGGCAGCCTCCTAAGGTTGCTTTTTGTGGTCAGCCTTTACCATATAGCGGTCCTCGCCCATACAGTTTCAAGCTGTTACATCATGTCCATCTAGAGGAAAAGAGAACACTACTCTACATCAGCTTTCCTTTATACTGGGTGGAAAACAAATGATTGCATTTCATTCAAAAGGTGAGGGGCTTTAACCAAAGATGAAATGTCACCAGATCGAACCTAGGGTCACCCCTTTATCTGGTTCTGTGTCCTTTTATGGCCGTCTTGACAACGAATGAACCTGCACCAGGGTGTTGATCATGAACTTCCTGTGATCACCATCTGTTGGCAGAATTGTTAGTCCATCTCAGGCTTAGAATCAGCTTCTGCCTGATGGCCTTGCCCAGTCATTCAGTCTCTTTTTTGAAATATTTACCTATTTTAAGGAATCTAAATTGTACTGAAATTATTAGCATGTGAATGGCCGTTATCATATTTGTCATAAAGTTGTGGCGATTGTTTTTCATATTTTTTTGTTTCGTAAAGGGACTTTGATGTGTGAAAGGTTCTCCTAGATGTTTAAGACCAGACTGATTGGGTATTGTGTTAGCCAGAACAAACCGGAATTTAACAAGCATTTGTTGTTTAACAAAAGTCATTATTAGAGATGACATCATATGGACTGTAAGAGGTGAAGAGGTGAAACAAAGGAGGGCCTAAAGTCTACCAATCAACCAAAATATTTTGTTCTCTATGTAAAGGGTTCCGCGTGGCTACACTATTAGAATGTGAGCTTCAAATATTACTTCTGTGAAGAGATAAAGCATGTTTAAATACACTCTTGATGAACATAAAAGTGACTTGCGAGTAGACTACTTCAAGTTTCAAGTTTATTTGTTCCACATTTCACAAAACAGACTTTACACAAATGAAAAAATTGGAACATAATATGAAATATATAATCAAGTCTTTGTAAAGACGTCAAAATTAATTGTTTTAAATTGTAGGTTATACAGGGTGAAATGTGAGGAACCTATTAAAAAAGGTTAGCTTGTAGGTTATAGGTTCCCCTAAATAAAAACTAACATTTGATTGCAGACGTGAAGCACCTGGCCTGTATGCACTTGCACCAAATAGGGCTCTATAGGGTTTCATGCTTGCAGTTCTATTTTTTCTTCTTCATTCTCTTTAATATCTGCTGGCTAACAATGTATAGAATGCCAGGAAACAAGGTGAGTTTTTTGTAGGTTGATTAGATAGATTCTAGCCGTACAGAAATTATAATTTTGGGTGATTGGTACACTTTGAACCCAATTGTTTTCACTCACCATTGAAATGCTTGATTGTTAACAAACTGAATATAAGGGTTGAGATGTTATGGTAATGACATAGTAATTCAGAAAGCAGGTCAAAGATTGTCATCATGTATTAGTACTTTTAGATTAGTTTAGAGATAAAAAGTTAGAAAACATGAGGGGTGAAGAAAAGAATCTTTTGTAATGGTGCTATATTTGGAACAAAAGTTTGGATTAAGAAGGGTCAGACATAGGAACTCAGAAATTAAAATTTAATGAAGCATATCGGTGCAATAAAGGCTAAGAAAGTAGATTTTCCCATATTACTCCTCTATAACTTATTGAGGTTATTTGTTTTGACATTTTATTTGCCTTGAAATCTTGTACATGTATGTCTTCTTTACAATGCGTCAAGATGTAAAATAAAATTGAATTTCACGTACTATTGAATTTGATGAAAATATTTGATATGATTTAAGATATAATTGTGTCCACTACACTGGTGAGTAAATCAAAAGGTTCATGGTTCAAGTCTCACTGCAGCACCAATGTGCCATTCTCTACCCTAGTGTACGTGTGGGACATAAATGTAGCTTTTGTTATTCATCTTCTTATTATATTAGTATGAATGCAGAGATTCAATGACTCTTCTTGTTTAAAATTAAAACAATAGTGTGCTATTATTGAGAGAAGACCTAAGTTATCATATTACCCAGATAAATGTGTGTTATGTATACTAGTATGACACAAGTTCAGTATACTATTTTTTTCTAATGTAATTGGGCAAGTCTTGGCTATAGAGGTGTTGTGGTATAGTAGTTCATTCACCTGACTCTCAATCCAAGGATTGAGGGCACTATTAGCCTTTGTTCAGACATTAACACACTTTTGCCACTCTCCACCCAGGCGTTGAATAGGTACCTGGTAGGATGCAATTTAGTCATTGTATTTTGCATTTTGAGCATCTGCAAAATGACACCTGGTTAGAATGCTCCCCATGGAGTGAAGAATGTACATACGTTGTTTGCAGGCAAGCTTGAGTCCGATGAACAGGGTAATAGTATTTCCGTTTGTCTTTATAAATAGAGACATCAACTTATTAAGCGCTTACCCAGATTATCATTTGTGATTTGTCGGATAGGTAACTTATAATACTATCAACATGGAAGACTTAAGTTGATTTAGATTGATGATTACTAAATCCGATCATCAATTTGCAAGCCTGACGAGAGCTTGGTTCAGACCAACTATTGACTAAAATATGATCCTTTTGATGTCAATAAATGGGCATAACACTATAATACATGTATTTGGTAATGTATGAGACACTGCATGAACAAATACCTTTGGACTTTTCTGGCTAATAATATGATGTTGACAATCCCCAAGTTGAGGTTTCAGTGACACAAAGACGTAACTCCATTTTTTTGCCAAAATTAGTATTTGATATTTAAATGTTCAGAAAAATGTGGACTTTCCAGGAAACACAAAGACTTAACTCTACCAAAAACCCCATTGAAGTCAATTGCTAGTGAAACATGGACTTGACTCATTACGGCCCAAGTGCTCAGTGACACAAAAACCACTTTTTCTAAAAATGGCGAAAATGGATTTACGTCTTTGTGTCACTGACCCCTCGAAGTGTACACTGGCAATATCACAGGAGGTGAAGGGAAAACCAGACAACCTCTATTAAAGAGAAATGTCTTATTTTTAAGTGTTTCCATCACAGGAGATATACCGGTATGGTAAACATGGAAAACCTGTATATACAGGATACTCTCAGTTTATAAACAGATGCACAGATGGTGAGATTCTCTGAATCATTATAAAATCTTGCCAAGTTATTAAGCAATCCATATAGATGAATTGCTCCATTGCCAAGAAGATGATATTGCACAAAATTTATTTCATTAGTTTTAGTTAAATGATTTTATAAGGCTCTGAATGTGATTTAAGGTTGCTTGTGTGTTCAACTTTATACCCATTTTGTTTTGATATAACCATTTTAAATGTATATGAGTTTTGATTGCATTGTGGTGGGAAATTGTGAAATGGGTGTGTTAGTTTAAGACATCAGCTAATTTGTACATGTCCATTTCATGTATAGAATTGGGGTCTTGGGCTAGGACCCCTTTACAGTGTCATAGTCTGGACCTGGGGTTTGGGGGATAAGACCCATTTACAGTGTCATAGTCTAGCATTATTAAAGCTAATTATCAGGGGCTTTAATACTCTTGTTAGTAAAAAGGACATGTTTATGTTAAATTTCATTATGCAGTCGGCTTTGGCAAAAACCGACCAATGACTTGTCTTATTGTTACCTTGTTATGACAGTTAACGTACATGTACTTTTCCTAACATGAAAGATAACATAGTGTTCAGGATACCACACCTACTTTCATTGGTTATCCAGCAAGGGATATATAATCCTTTTCTCTGTCATTTATTGAATTCACATACTCCATGTTTTGGGAATTCAATATGAGGAGGGCAAAGATATTGTTTGTTGCTGGAGCAATCTCAAATCAAACAGTAGAGCACAGTCTGACTGCCGATACATTTCCGCACTCCAAAATTTTGGCAATATAGTGAACTATCTTGCCACAAGTTTTGCCAGGGTTTTCATTATCCCTTTTTTAAAATTCAGTATTTGATATCAGTGTCTCGTTCATGTACAATAGTTAGAATATTATATCAGTTAGAATCTTCTTTATGTAATAACAGTGTGTGCATTGTAAATTGTTGTCAAGCTCAAATCATACACAATTTTCAGTTGTGCTAGGTCAAATGTATGAATTTGAAATTATATGAAACCTATTTATATAGTCTGTAATCATACCACGATATGCTACTCTCTTTTTGTTTTGTAGAAAGTTGGATTTTTTGTTGTTGTAATGTCTGAACATTTCTCCTTTTTTGCGCACTTTTCAAATATTGAAATAATACATGTACATGTACTTGTCATTTCTAAATTCATGTATTGCTAAGAAAAATCTCATATAATGAGATTTTGTCTTGTTTGCATTACTTTAGTTTTTCTTTTCATATATGTATATATGCCTGTGTGTTATTTAAACTACTAATTTAGATTCATGATACTAATGTTGCATTATTGGTGTAAAATATGATCAAATATGAACTGAATGAAACTGATGGGAATGTGTGATTATTACATTTACACTTTCCTTCGTTGATAGTATAACAATTCAAACTTCATTAAATGGAGTATCCATATATGTAATACACTCATCATTAAAGAAGTAAAACGCTTTCAAATGCCTCTATCCTTTTGACATTTTCATTGTGATATGACAGGGTGTGCACCTACTTCAGGTTTCTAGAATTTTGAATGAATATTCATATTCACTGAATCACATGTACTTGCTTAATAATTGAATGTGGGACACTTACTTAGTTGATTTGCCATCTCATAAATTGAACTAAAACATTAATGCGAAGTTGTGAAAAATTTAATAATCACAATTTTTTTTTTTTTTTTTACATTGTATCTACTTTTTCTAACCAGTGAGAAAATTTGCTGTTTCTTAAATATATTGAACAACGTCTCCATTCATAGCAGTAAATTATGGCATCTTGCTCATCGCGAATGAGTCATTTGAGAAAAATAAGACATGTCATTATAGACTTGTACATTGATGGGCCCGTAAATTTAATCAAAGTCAAACGAAGTGTCAACAAGCCATGTACAAAAAAACGGGTAGAAGAAGAAGAACCAAAAGAATATGGAACAGGAAAATACGCACAGAAACATTATGTTATCGCGATGGCGCTATAACGCAAATTATAATAACCATTATAAATATATTACTTTGAAATATCAATCACAAACGGAGTACAACATCCAAGTATCAAATTTGGGATTTTAAAAAAATTGCCCTAGACAAATAGTATAAAGGGCATGTAGCCTCTGGATAATCCCTTAATCCGCATATCCGCCCCAAGCCTGCCGATCCGCGGGCCCTGTCTTGAAGGCTTCTAAATAAGCATATTTTTTGCATGACTGTAAATTTGGGAATTTGTCATTTTCCATAAACGCATAAAAAAGTGTAATTCACAAAAATAAACGTGAAACGTGAAATAAACGTTTGAATTTTGGGGGGCACCTGCCCCAAACCCCCTATCAGTACACCAGTGCGAGGGACGAGGGAGCATAGTGAACGAGAGGGGCGAAGATGAATGACCCCCTCACATGTTTTTGAAGATTTGTTGTAATAACAAATTACATTCCTTAGCAAATTGAATTGAAATATACCCTTTTTCACACTTCACTTTTACTTTGCCGGTGTAATATCAGTTTAGTAGATAGACTTTAGTAAGTAGGGAGCTTGGGCATGGATGGGATTTTTATTTCCCACTCTAGGCCTCTTAAATGAAATGGCAAAGATCAGCCTTTTTAATTACGACTTATTATTTTGTTATATCATTGCTTATTATAGTATCATTATATATATATTGGACTCCATGGAAGAACAGAGCCATTAGGTTAATGGCTCTGAAATAAGTCTTTGATTTTGTTATATTGTGTTATTGTTTTTTATGATGATTTTCGGAAATAAAACAAACAAAGCCTGGCAATTACATAAAGTATGCTGTAGCAAGCGGAATATTCATTTTTGTAGCACTGATCAATTTCTATAACTCTTAATCTTGTAAACATACAGTGTTAACTGTCCTTACATGATACCAACGGAATACAGATTTTCTACAATATTTAGCTGTACATTTTGAAGGATACCATGCAAGGGGGCGTAGCGACCGAGAGAGAAGATTTTTTTTACTTTTATTAGTCTAAACGCTGCACTCTTGGGCCCTCCAGAGCCTAAAAGTGTGATGCAGTCTTTAATAAGTATTTGCTACACATTTTTGTTGATGCATTTTTTTTAATTTTCCGGGGGGACGATTCCCCCCTTAAAAAAAATTGAGGGAGGACGTGGCCGCCGCCCCCCCCCCCCCTCCCCCGTCCCCCGAGATCGCCGCCTCTGGTATTCGGCAATAATGGTCATAAAATTACTGACTTGCCTATAAATCAAACAACAAATTAACAACAGGGGCATTTATCAGTTGACACTCGCTCTGTTCAGACCAGATGACCCAGAGACCTTCAACCGGGCAGTCCTACTTTCCAATGCTCTAAAACCCAAAGAACCTTCTGTCATTTCTATACAATATACACTCTGATAGTGCTATTGCAATCTCCAGTACACTATCTACCTGACATGCCATTCCTGCCTGCTATGACCATGGACCTTGTACTTGTCCTCGATCTGACACAATAATATTGCAGTACTCTGGTAGCTGCTGATCTCCGATAGAGCGGAGGAAGAAGCATAAGAAGAAGGAGGAGCAAAGTTCTCTCTTGCCAAACATGGCGCAGGCTAATAGTGATCCGCTGATGTTTTACTGCAATGGAAAAAGAGTAAGTCGTATCATATTTAAGCAAACTTTTCTAGGTTGCTCTCCGTGCGAACATAATTAATTTTAACCTCTTTTGCTCATTACTACAGAATTATATGATGAAACAGATTGATGCTGCGTAGACTGTAAGGTGTACGAGAAATACAATAGTACCTATTGTCAATTGTGGATCAGTAATATGATATAAATCGAATTTCTGACCCATGTGATTTGACTAATTTAATTTCCTCACATGATGTTGAACAACAATTTATTATTCATAAGATAATAAGGAGAAAGTATTCTCAAGCGTTTTAAACATATTGAATGCGTGTATAGTTGTGTGTAGCTTGTGGGGGGGGGGGTGAATTAACTCGCTATATTCGCCAATATGATGCTTAAAACGATTGTCTTTTTTAGGTTGAAGAGCATCATCCAGATCCTGAGATGTCATTGCTGGTTTATATAAGAACAAAGTGTATCCTTAAAGAAAACAAATGCAAATCCGTTGTCTTTGTTGTCTGTCAATCCTATAATCTATGAAATTATCTGCCTTCTATTTGCAATTTTATTCATCTTGCCTGTTCCCCTTACCTTTTCACATACCCCCTGTCACCCATATTTCCCATTTGGGCTTTTTAAAATTGATTTAAATACATAGAAAGACATATCTTTTACGTTCATAGGTAGCTGATTCCAAGATTTAATGCATTTATAACATAAGCTCTTTTTCTTAAATTTCATATGTGGTTTTGGCAGTTTTAAGGTTTTATGAGCATTTCTCAAGCTATAATAATATTCTTTAATAACAAAGTACTTTCTAAACCCACCAAATATCATTTCATGAACAATTTTTATACAAAATACATAAAACGTGTTTATCTCTCCGCTCTGATAGATTTTCTGTTTCAAACAAAGAAATAAATCTTGGCTCGGGACCCTCCATTCAACTTGGAGTACCACCCGAAGTGTCCCATTCTGTAGTTTTTTGCAAACTTTCTAAACTTCCTGTCCCAGCATTCCTCCAAATTACACTACAGTAATCAAACTTACATTAACTTACTGATTTATAAAATATTAATGCAGTTTGCTGTGTAACATATGGTCCAAGTTTTTTTCATTTTTTTTTCTTTGATACATTCTTACTTAAATATTCAATATGTTAACCCCAATCAAAACGTTCATCAATAACTATTGAAGATACTTACAAAGGGTTACACGTTTGAGAGGACATTTTGTATCTAAACATCTGGTTCTATAATATTTTTCATCCGTTTCTTCGTTCCAATAAAAAGTAATTCACAATTTTTCATATTTAGGGCAAGTCTGTTTCTTTTTAACCAAATATCAATAAGTAATGAAGTCTGCATTGAATGATTCGGTAAGAGTTTGATGATTTCCACTAGCGTAATAAAGACATGTATCATCAGCAGGGATGTTTCACATGTTTTCAGACATAAAGGCAGATCATTACTCAAGAAGATAAATAACAACGGACCCATATTTGACCCCTGCGGTATTCTACATTGCATATTTCGTGAATTGGAATGAATCCCATGTACACAAGTATATTGCATGCGATGGGCTAAGTAGCTAACAACCACTGTAATGACAATTCATTGAAGCCAATAAATCGTAGCTTATTTAAAAGAATTGAGCGGTCCACTGTATCAAAGGTCTTTTCTAAGTCAAGGGTCACCACTCCTACAAGATTACCTTTATCTAAACTATCAAGCCAGTCTTCAGTGACGTTCAATGGAGATGTCATTATAGTTTGGTTGCAACTTATAATTCCGTTCTGATACATATAACCATAAAGTCGATCATACAAATACAAATTTCTCAACAATATTAGCTATCGCTGGAAGAATTGATATATATATATATATATTTTAGTAGATTTTTCTGCATTTATTGATAAATCAAATATAAAACATTAAAAAAAAAAATACATAATTGAAAGCTTGAAAGTATGAGGTAAGTAAAAATAATCAAGATAAATGCAGAGGCCAACTATCATAAGCAAGGAAGCTTGATCTATTGATTTATTGTTCATATCAGATTTTTGTCCCGATTTAAAAACTAGAATAACACGAGATATTTTCCATTGGGGAGGAACAACTCCTTACTGAAAAGACAGATTTATGATATATCTTAAAGGCTTGAAAATATAAGTCATTATAATTTTCGAAATTTTCAGCTGGTGTATTATCTGGACCAATAGCCTTCTAAATCTAAGGTATTAATAACATTAAAACTTGTTCTTCATTAACTAGATTAAAACGGAATCCATCTCCAGGCAAAACAGTATGCAGTATGCACGTCTGTATGTCTGTCTGTATGTCTATCTGTCCGCCTGTCCATACGAGCATATCATTTCGTTACAAAGTCTAGGCCGCAAAAACATTGATCATGTTGATATGCTAATGTGCTTAGAAAATTATCTCTCATTTTTATCTAGTACGACTCTTTGAAAATCCATTATGTACAATAGTAAGTTCATGTTTAATTTTATCAAAATTTCGATTTATCTGAATGGCATGCGCCAACCATTTATTGGTTCATTGTGTTCTCACGCCGATCATCGACAGCACATTAGAGCCATGTATCTGTAGAATGATGTTCTATAGTATAGGACATATTATTCTTCCAACAGTTAAAAGATCATTAGCAGTCAAATAAGATTGAAGGTTTCATACATGAATCAATTTAATATACTTTTTACAGTGCGGTACATAACGTTAATGGCCTGTAGTTTGAGCATGAATCTTTTGTTCCTTTGCTTTTACAGATATATTACAGCATGTTTAAACATTAAATGTTGTCCCATATCAGTATTGAGATTTTTTGTAAGGGTTAACATTCTGAGATATTTCATAATTCCTTAATTACGCATGTATAAATACAGTGGGGCTAAAAGGTACAAAGTTGGGCTGTTCAGAAGGAAGCTGCGGGGCGTGTACAGTGATGGTTTCTTCGTATGATTCCAATTCCAACAAGATTCGGTATCCTTTTTTTTTAGTGATATGTTATAATGGCGGTGGCTTATTAATCTCTAATAAGAACAATAACAATTATGATAATGATGATGATGATGATGATGATAATAATAATGATAATAATTATTATTAATAGTAGTACGGTACTACTACTACTTCTACTACTAATAATAATCATAATGATGATGACGATAATGATGATGATACCAATAAACAGGGAGGGAGAGAAAGAAGGAGAGAGTGAGAGAGAGAGAGAGAGAGAGAGAGAGATAATATGAAAATGAGATGGAAACTCCATGACTAGACCTCTGAGAATAAAATCAAAGAAAACTCTAACATTAACCATCTATTGAAATATACAAATTGAAGTCGTGCTACAATTCTTGACATTGTCGTCCTCTTTTTCGGTAAAACCTGCTTCTTCTCTGTCTGCATGAATATGTAGCCATCGAGCTGTAAATGCGTGTCTAGCTCCCGTCTGTTCAATTCACGGTGCAGCTGCTGTCACAACTGTAGAAGGCATTGGAAGCACGAAAACAAAGCTGCACCCCGTGCAGGTAAAGACAGAACTCGCCCTCATTTCATTTCAAATTCTATCCCACCGCTGCCGCCATAACACGTGAGTCCGGTTTCATTAAACTATTAATCTATAAGCCATCGAAATCCCTTTATTTTATTGGCTATGAACAGATTCGCCATAGATCTGTGGCAGTTCTTATTGATTTAAAGTTTTAAGAAACAGTGCCCTGATATAATAGGCCCGCAATAAAATAAAAATAAAAATATATATATACTGGTACTCAGTGTGGTTTTTGTACTCCGGGAATGGTAATGTCGATGTATACACTTCTGAGAAACAATCCTCATCCTACCATGGAAGAAATCCAGACAGCCCTAGGTGGGAACCTCTGTAGATGTACTGGTTACAGACCCATCCTCGAAGGTTACAAGACGTTTGCTAAGGTGAAGTGGAAAATATGATGCTGAAGAGGATGAGAAGGAAATGATGATGATAATAATGAGAAGGATGTAGAGGAGGAATAGGAAAAGGGGGAGGAGGAGGGGGAGGAGAAGGAGGAGCAAAATACCGATGATGATGAGGCAGATGAGGATAATTAATGATGTATAATGACAATGATGATGGTGGTGGTGTGGCGATGTTAACGATTATGGTGATGAGGACGATTATGTTTTTGATGATACTGATGATGGAGACGTTTGCTAAGTTAAGATGATGATGATGTTGATTGTTTTAATGATAAAGATGATTATAATAATTTAACTGTTATCCTTACAAACAATCGTCAACCTTCCATGTATGAAGAATTGTCACTGAATCAGTAAATTATTTTATTTATCTTTTAAACATTTTCCTTTAGGATGGCGGTTGTTGTGGAGGGAAATGTAGGCAAAACAACGTCACTGATGAGGTAAGGACATTTATAATCACAAAATGAACTGAACAATTTAAAAGTAAATATATCTGTTCATACAAATTTTAAATAGGGTTTCACAACAGAGACAATAAATAATTTTGTAAAGTAACCACCGTTATGTGGTACTACTTTTTTCCCCCTTCATTTTGATCAAATGGTTCTTGATGAACAGCTGTAGAATTTTTCCCTTTGTAAAATATTACAAGAGGAAATTCGGTTCTACATACGCGTACATTACAGGCTATAAATGACACAAACGTAAACGCAAAATACAATAAAAAGACTACAAAAATTGCTGATTCAATCTCCTAAACAAATATTTATCAATCTTTAGTTACTCTTTGGAACAGTTCGTGCCCAATGGACTATGAGCCCGGTAGTATGGTATTGATAAATTAGTATTTATTGAAGAAGTCCATACCTTGATCTTTAATACTATTAGGAAACCATAGATATAATGTTAGAAACAACAACTACAGTGCTAGTAAACACAAGGTACATGGTCAAGAGGACTTAAACAAACCAACCTGAGGCAATTTTAATAGCAAAGTGGGTCAATATTTGAAATGTGCGAACGATGGCATAATATAATCTGAACGTGATGTCTGTATTAAAACAGTACGATAGGTATTGAAAAAGCCCTTGAGTTAATTTTTGAAAGTCTTTATCGTTTTATGGGTAGTTAATACTAGATATATCTACTGCTAATCTAAAGTTATATGAATTATCAATCTACCTATACTTTCTAACTTGATTTAACAGGTGTCCCACCTGTTAAATCAAGTTAGAAAGTATAGGTAGATTGATAATTCATATAACTTTAGATTAGCAGTAGATATATCTAGTATTAACTACCCATAAAACGATAAAGACTTTCAAAAATTAACTCAAGGGCTTACTACCATGCCGATTGTTTGATCCAACCAAGTTCACACAATACGACCCAACACAGGATATAATATACCCTCCAGATCTAATGGTATATGATTTTCACAATAGTTCTTTTTTATCCTCTCTTTCTCTTTTGATCTAAAATCAACATCCCCATACATGTTTTCTTCATCATTTTACATAGCATATGTAAAATCCATTTAGGAACACCCCGGCACAGAAAGCGTGGGCATTTGGGTTTTGTTGCCTTTTATCCCTGATATAACCTGATAAAAAGGTTTGAGCATCTGTAATTCCATGAAGAACAGAGCAATTATATTGAGAGCAACCCAGGCGTATTCTTTTAAAATAATTGTTTGTTTATGTAAATAAGTATGTTTATATAGTTTTTATATGGAAAATAAAACCAACCAAACAAACAACGAACTATCCGATAGGCCTCAATGAGTTTGTTAGAACGAGGATCCATCATATTCTTCCCACATGTAAAGTGTCAACGCTACGTCATTCAAGTCAGTAGTGCAATTTATTTTTTATTCTTATTTTGCTTCTTCCAAATAATATACAGCTATCTGCTACGAAAGAGGATATGCGTTCTCTGACCTTCAAAGGTCCGCGCGTGACCTGGTATCGACCTTTGACCTTGAATGAGCTACTTGACTTGAAGACGAAATATCCGACTGCAAAGTTAATTGGAGGAAATACTGAGATTGGTAATATTTCTGCGTTCCTTTTTTTTCTCACTTCAAAATACTTGGGATGCACTGAAAGATGTGTTATTCCCAAATGACTCTCCTATACATAATATCACACTTACACAAAATTACTTGAAATTGATCAAAACATAAATAATCTTTTTTTACGAAAACAAAGAATGCATACTAGAATGTACCAAGAGTATTATTGATCAAATATGCGTACACAAAATATAATTCGATAGCACCAATCTTTGGTATAAATCTACGTCTAGAAAAGTTATTTTATTAAAGTAGGCTTGAATTGTTGTAGTTTATAGTATAGTGTTTGCATTTCCAGGAGTATTAAGTTCAAACATGAGAAATGCATTATTTGAAGGCACATAGAACACAAATGGTTATAGCTTTAGATTAATACTTTGAAATAGCAAAGATACGTAAGGCCTGCTCATAAGTCAGCGCATGAAACCTTAACAATTACAGATTTTTTGGGGAAAAATAAAAATAAATCTGTAAGATCATTTCGTTTAACTGAAGTGCTAGGAATTATTAAATAATCTATCTCAAAATATTTTTTTTTTTATGGACACAAGTGGTATTACATTTGAAAAGTTGAGAATGGAGAAAGACTGGCATAATATGACACAAAATTGATTGACGTCATTTTTATTGCAGGTATTGAAACAAAATTCGGGAACAGGCTCTACCCTGAACTAATCGATGTGAACCATGTCCTAGAATTAAGAGAGCTAAAGGTCAAAGATGGTGGTATTTTGATCGGTTCTGCCGCCACTCTTAGTGAAGTGGAAAGCTTCTTCAAAGAGATCATCGAACAAGAAGAGGGTAAGCAAGAGAAACAAAATAAAAATTTCATTTATGTTAAGGTGATTTTGTATACAATGTAATCTCATTTAGATGTGAACGTATTGATATTTGCTGACCTTTGATGTTTTTGCAATAAAACAAGATTAATCCACATTTAAACGATTGATGCAAAAGGAATATTGCCTCTATGTCATGCACTACACTAACATGACTAATCAGGAGTATAATGTTGATATTATTATTCACAGATAATATCAGTTTGACTCTCTGTCTAACGTTCTCTGTCACCCACTCTCTATCCGTCTTTATTCTTCTCTCTCTCTCTCTCCCCCTCTCTCTCTGTCTCTGTCTCCACCTCATCTGCCCCTCCCCTCTCTATCCCCTCTCTTTCTCTCACCCCCGCCCCCTCTCTCTCTCTCTATCTCCATTCATCTGTTTGTCTTGAAGCTTATTTCTTTTTTCTTACATTTATACATTGTATATTATGTTCTCAGTTGCACGATCACCCAGAGTTTAAAGATATCTCTTATTTCAGGTTTCAAGACACCAACACTCTCCGCAATCGTTGAGATGCTCCGCTGGTTCGCTGGTCGGCAAATCAGAGACGTGGCTGTAAGAATCTTATGAAACTATACAAATAAAAAAAAAGAATCTTATGAAACATAAATATTGTCATCATCATATTCAATTCATTAGAGAATTAATGAATTCTCTTGGATAAGCATAGCTCTTCCATTTATAAAGTCACAAATATACTTTTATTAGAATTCTAACGTTGGCCCACTCTTACTGATGGTTTAACCTAGGGTAAAATTTACAGTTTGATGTTTTGACGGTGATTATTTACTTACGCTGCTTTAAGGTTACATTAACTGTGCTTTTAGTGAGATGTTCAAAATTATTAAATCTTCACGAACCGCCACCATCATCATAATCACCATCGTCCTTTTCATCACTATAATCATCCTCATCATCATCTTAAAGTATCACCACAAATACTACTAATACAACCTCTATCACCATTGCTGCATCTGGCCTTATTGTATCATCCAACATGCAGATGATTGGAGGTAACATCGTGACTGGTAGCCCCATCTCAGATCTTAATCCAATATTCATGGCAGCCAAGTGTACTTAAGAACTGGTATCACATTCTAGAGGTAAAAAGGGAAACGGCAACAAATCTATGTAGTACATGTATATGCTATTGTTGTAGACAAATTAAATGATCATACCGTAACTTTAGACTTATTCTCCAATGTAGTCTCTGATTGTTTGACATTTCATTTATTGTAGGAATGTGCAATTTAAAGCGTAAGGTTTGATACCTAATCTACAAATGAAAAAGATCAGAGAAATTATTTTTCTTGCTGAACATGGTTAATTATTCATTTTGACTTTCATTAATTATGTGATGCCCTTGTTGTTTTCCATAAGCTTTAAGAACAAATTTATCAAGTATATTATCCAAATCATTACAAATACAGGTACTCGTTTTGTGGTTATGGATGAACATTTCTTTACGGGATATCGCAAAAATATCATCGAGCCAGACGAAGTGTTGAGGTCTATCACGATTCCGTTCACCCAAGAGGTAAACTGTCTATACGTAACGCATATAATGACAAATGATACAAGGAAAGAAATAGGTTCTAAACATAAAATATGGAATGTTATTTCAGTTAAGAAAGTTTTATGAACTCGAGATAATGTTTATGCTATGTCGTTATAATTTGTTAAGTAATATAATTGATTGCCTACAGACGGTTTTTATTTTGTAATAATACATCTATGAAATCTGTATTTTTTAAAGTACCATGCTAGAAATAACGCAGTGTTTGGAAATGTGGAAGAGTAAATACATTGTTACACAGTGCTCCACTGTGTAAAAACAAATTTAAAGCATTGTAGAGAAACAAAAAATATATTTTTAATAACTTTTTTTTTCTTTAATAAAATCATCTTTATTCAATATTGCTTTCGACTTTACAAAACATAACAAAACATATATGAATATACATACATAATAAAACCAATAGACTCAACAACAAGAATATAGCTGATTATACAAGATAATTTTTTTTTAAATTAAAAAAAAAATTAATGACAGTGCTCTACGGCGTAGAAACAGAGTGAGTGCAGAGAGCGGCCACAGTGTTCTACAGTTTAGACAAAGATTTATCACAGTGTGTCTCTTTCACCACGGTGAAAGTGTTTCACTTGAAGGAATATTTAACGATTAATAATATATACAAAATAATGGTGAAAAGGTCCCTTGCATTATTGCATATGTAACATTTGTGATAATGTTATCAAAAACAAATGACCTTTTTACTCACGCAATTTTTGATCACAATCATTGAGCACGTTGCAGCATCTTATTCTTCGTCCATTTTTACTTCTCTACAAAGAATGAGTATGTCTTCGCTTTCAAACAATCGCCACGCCGTGAAGACGACATCGCTATCGTCAACGCTGGAATGAGAGTCGCTTTCGAGTGCGACACCGACATCGTCAGAGACCTGACATTGTCTTTCGGAGGGATGGCAGCAACCACCGTCCTTGCTACCAATACCATGCAGAAACTGAGAGGAAAGTTAGTCGAATACAGATTTCATACATTTCATCCTGTACGTTTTTTTTTTTTAACATCACTTTATTGTTCAAACTTGAACAACAAAAGAGAAGATACAATAGCCCAGGACAAATCCATTTTACTGGAAAATGCATGACATTAAAAGTATGTTATATAACAACAATTACAAAATATTAAATACAGAATTCATATATTTTATCATGTAGATATCAGCGTATGTGATTAAAGTCGAATACATTCTTACTCGGGGAAAGAAAAACAATAGGAAAAATTTATTTTTGCACTTTTTCGGAAATTCCCGCTTTAAAATGGAAATAAAAACCTTGATTAAGCTTTATCAGATGCCAAAATGGTAGGGATTATTTGTTTGAAATGGTAATCGATGTTCAGAATTCAAAAAGTAAATAGTGGAATCCACTCTCCACAGAGTTATTCAACCGCCAATGTAGTAGATCAACTCCAATGGAAGTGATTGATAATTTTTGGGGTAAATCGTTAAAAGTGTATTCCTACTCATCTGTATTAAGAGAGTTCGATTTGCTTGATTAATCCTGACAGTAATATTCTACTTTATTGAATAAAAGAGATATTTCCAAAAAGAGAATTTTCATCCCTGCCTTATACTCTTTTTCTTCATAATTATACACGCCTCGTATCCTCACCCGATCTCTCCATTTCCTCATTTCCCGCGTTCTATCTGGTCTTAAAACGGTGTCTGTCTTTCTTTGTCTTTATTTTTTTTCTCTTTCGACTCTGACTCTGTGTCCCCATCTTACCCTCCTAAAGAAAATGGGACGAATCAATGCTGGAAGTAGCCTTCACCTCCCTATCAGACGACCTCCCCCTTCCCGCCGGGGCTCCGGGCGGGATGGAACCTTACCGACAATCATTAGCTGTGGGATTCTTCTTCAAGTTTTATTTCATGGTACTTGAACAACTGCAGTCTCGCCCGGTAAGTTTACCATTTTCATTAAGCAATTATTCATCATAAAGAGTTATAAGTAATTTCCCCCCGTATGGTGGAAATAGAAATTTATGCACTGTCACAGTGGTAGAAAATACCAGACGTAAATGTTGGAAAAGAAACCTTAAAACACGAATTTGTCAATAAAATGTGTTGTAATGTTTCAGTAATAGAAGTGTCACTGGCAGTCTCTAAAACATATTCTGATTTACAAAGTGAGAAAATTCGTACTCGTCATTGTCCACGAAAAAATTATCAGTTGATCTGAATCATTATTAAACCCAGCCTCTGTAGTGTTTATTCTTTAGCTCTATCTGAGTAACTGCATGAGCATTTTGAAAAACAGGCGATATTTGTTGTTACTTTTTGGCTTCTGGTGAAATTACAGATTGACAATTCTTCCCGGGCGATATCTGCCACCGACAAGAGTGCCATAGCTGCGTTGAAAGATGGGCCAGTCAAAGGGGTGCAGTTCTTCCAGGTATGTTCCTCCATTAACGCAAGGACCATCCATCCTGTTATCTATAGTATTGGGGGAATGCATATCGATCTTGTGAAAAGAGCATATCACGAGTAATGATAATTTTCCACTTGGCTTTGTCATAAAATGTATAACAAATAAAAACAAATAACATCGAAAACAATAACATCGTAATGATAAATCTACGATAACGACAGCAACCTTTCAAGGAAACTTTATACGTATAGGACCGCTATTTGATGAGTGCATATTACACGAAAACATTCCAGGCAATTGAATAGGAGGAAATGTATATTCAAGGGCAAGTCCACTGAAAAAATAACTTACTTATAATAGAAGCAGACAAATCAGACAAACCAATAAAAAAATGTTCGAGCAAAATCGGATAACTAATAAGAAAGTTATGAATTGATTTTTGATGGTTTGTCTGATTTTGCTGCTTCTATTGAAAGTAAGTTTTTTTCTGGAGTGGACTTGCCCTTTAAGAGTGTATAGTTTGTATCTTAATATGCATGTAAATTAATACTTTATTGGACGGCGTGTATGTTTTTATGTAGGAAGTGCCCTCTGGTCAGCCAGACCATGACCCTGTAGGTCGTCCCGTCAGTCACAAGGGTGCCTACCAGCACGCCACGGGAGAAGCAGTGTACATCGATGACATGCCGAAAATGTCGGGTAAAAACACTCAAATGTTGATTACACATGAGCGTCTAGTTAATAAATGAGGGTTTTTTTATAGACGTATTAAGTATTTAACACTCATCGACAGAGAGACGTTATTAGACTTTTTAGAGCTTTTAGAGTTATTTTTTCAAATATTTGTTCGCTTAGTCATCCACAGAAAGTCGTTAGTGATCGTTCAAATATACACTTTTTAGTATAATCCCAGACATTTTCTGGACATAATCAATAAATGAAGACAGGATCAACTTTCACCTTCCAAACTTTTGTTAATTCAGAAAAAAAGACCCATCATTCGAAAGCATAAGTAATGCTCATTTGAATCTAAGGACGCAAAGATAGTAGTAATTATGTATTTGTATTGTATTTATTAACATTTATTTCCTTCTCAACAGCACAATATAAAACACAATGTATATATACATGATATATGTAACAATTATTTCAACATAGAGTATACAGTAATTAATTCAGATACGGAAGGAGGCGAAAACCCGGAAAGCGTAGCTTGAGTTGGGAACGCCCATAATAAATTAACACAGTTACCGAAAGAACATTATAGATATTATTATGAAATTTACATTGTATATAACAGAACGTTGATAGGAAAGAAAAAAAAGTGAAAGGAAGAGAGGAGAGAATTAAGTAAAGGAAGGCATGTTCACTTATAAAGAGAAAGTTACATCAATTGGGCTGTACATGTGTCTGCGATTACATCATAAAGATAACGAAGTACAATTGTAAAATAGACAGCGGGTTCATATCATTACAAACAAGCAAAATCATCAAACAGACAACAGCTTTATCCGACAGCATTGTCCTGGGAATATACAGATGGTACTAGCAACAAGTTATCAAAGTAAATAAATAATCGGTCATACAAACATGTCATTAAATTCCACAAAAGATCATTTCACACATAAATACAAGAGAGGGTATCAATATCGAGCAATTAAATACCTTTCCGGCATTCTGACTATTTTCTCTTATATAACAGTGCTCTCTTTTTATATCTGTTTTCAAAGGTGAACTCCACATGGCCTTTGTCTATAGCGGGAGGGCGCATGCAAAAATCACGTAAGCATTTCCTCCGACTGCTTGCATGGATAAAGTATACTCTTTGTAAAAATATAGCCCCAGGCAAATCATGTAGATGCATTTATAATTATATTAGTCATAACCATACAAAATTATGCATAATTGTTTCTTGCAAAACGTGTGGTAAGAAACATATCATCGATGTCAAAACAAAATTAATAATTAAAAACCATTAATGATATATTCTTTCCCTCTCTCTCTCTCTCTCTCTCTCTCTCACACACACACACACACATACACACACATATATATATATATATATATATATATATATATATACACACACACACACATGTGCACACCCACACACCCTCTCTCTCTATCTATCTCTCCCTCTTTTCCTCTTTCACTAACACCATTCCTTTCAATTCTCCCACCCTCATTCGTATATTTCCTTTTACACAATCACATGGATACGATATCATACCTCTCTTTTGTTTCTTTATTTATTTGTCTCTATCTCCTTTTTTTTCTCCCTCTCTCTCCCTATTTCCTCTTGCCCTCTCTAATTCCTGTTGTATAGAGCTATCGACCCATCTAAAGCTTTAGCCTTGGAGGGTGTTCGTGACTTCATATCTGCTGTAGATGTCCCTGGCAGCAACTATGTGGGAGTCAACTTTCAAGACGAGGAGCTGTTCGCCACCAAAGAGGTCATTTTATGTATTGAGCATGAGGAACAATGATAAAATTTAATTGTCCAAAAGATAATCATCCTTTTTCCCTTAGAATTCGGTTCTATCCACTTTTTGCGAGTCATATCAGTGATCGTTTCATTTAGGAGTGAAAATCCACTCTCAATTCTGTGGAATACATTCCTGAAAAAGGGGATTTCCACTCGTCTGTAACTATGAAGAGGGTAAGATCTATTCTCTGATTGTTATATTCTTTACGAGCACATTACTGCAATAACCCTTTGCGATGTCCACTTACAAAATTACACCTGATATATCCTTGAACACCTAGGTGATGTACATTGGGCATGCAGTCGGAGCTATTGTTGCTGATACCAAGGAGGTAGCTCAACGAGGTGCCAAGCTGGTCGAAGTTGACTTCGATGATCTCGAGGCCGTGATCACGATCGAGGTAAACGGCGACAATCAATTAATGACTAAGGGCTATGCAGGAACATCTTGAAGGGGAAGGGCGGGGAGATGACAACAAGCCATGTAGACTAAGAAGAACAAAACATGGCCCACAGAACTCTTTATCATACGAATGCCGGTATTGCTCGGATAATTTGGCAACACTTCTCCTTTTGCAAACTGCAAGCGTTCTTCCTGAATGGCACACATTTCAACCAATGACTATATAAAGATTGCGTCTGAGCGGTTCAGACACCTCTTCCAATATAAACGAATAACACTATGTTTAATTAACTTTTCATGTATTTTCACCACGATGAATATTTTCCCGTTTTCTCAACCTTTTCGATTCAGGACGCAATCGAGAAGGGATCCTTCTTCGACTATTTGAGAATACTGGAAAATGGCAATCTCTCGGAGGCTTTCGAAAAGTCTGATTACGTCATTGAGGGAGAGATGAAGATAGGAGGTCAGGAACACTTCTACATGGAGACCCAGTGCGCATGCGTAGTGCCAAAGGGGGAGGATGGCGAGTTTGAAGTCTTTTGTGGTACCCAAAACCCGTCCGCCGTGCCCGTAAGATTCCAATCATTAGTTTTGTTTTAAACATGTTCCTCTATATTTCTGTTAAAAGAAAAAAGTGTTATGTACACTGTGACCACAGACGGAAATGATTTGACAATTTGATAGTGTTGACGAAAGTGTGTTCTTACAGTGTATTTATATTTTTCGTGCTGTGTTTTCACTCTGTAAGTCACAGTGTGACGCAATATTAAGTGTGACACACAATTAAACAGTGTGCTACAGTATGGCACAGTGTATCACGATGTATTATAGCTAATGTCACAATGTTACACAGTGTGGTCACAGAGACACAGAGTATCATGTTATACAGAGTGTAAACAATGTTACAAAATGTGGTACACTATGACCCAATGTGGCGTAGTCTTAATCAGTGTACCACAGTTGTACAGATCTAGGCTTCTCTTTTCCTACACCTGTATGTCTGCATTGCACTCTCCTACTCTTTATAGATTATGAATATAAACATTCAAAAATATTTGTAATTTTCTTCCCTAGCCCCCTTTGTTTTAACTACACATTATTCTGTGATTTCAGAGATTCGTATCTTCTGTCCTTGGAGGTCCCTTTAACCGGGTCGCATGTCGAGTTAAACGGGTCGGTGGCGCTTTTGGTGGAAAGCAGTACCGGGCGGCGATATTGGCTGCCGCATGTGCAGTAGCTGCAAACAAGTAGGCAATTGTTCTTTTGATGTAGCCAGAAGCGATATTGAGGCACGTGTTGACGCTTTAGCTAGGACATATAAAGATATCTAAAAAATATTCCATAATTCCATAAAAAATTATCACAAAGAAATTAAGAGTTTTCGTCTGATAAGCACAAATCCTTCCATTCAGACTAATCAACTGTAAAGTTTGCAAATCGTTGACTTGAAAGATAACATTTCAAATTGCTCGCCTATTTGAATATTTGATTTGGGATGCCGTTTATTAAGGGAAAAGAGAACGTGAAAAAAATTTCAGAAATTTTCCAGCAATAATCATTGAGCTGTTTATTGCACACAGAAATTTAAAATAAAAACACTGCCCCCACCTTGTAGTAATGCCCTTGTCACCCTGTCAAAGACACTCTTGAATGTGTTAAATTCCATGTTATCTCTAGGGTTCGTTGTCCAGTACGCTTCATGCTCGATCGTGATGAAGACATGATCTCAACAGGGACCAGGCATCCCTTCTTAGGTCGCTATAAGGTCGGATGTACCAAGGAAGGCAAACTCGTCGGTGTTGACATCAAGCTGTTCTCAAACGGCGGCTTCAGTTATGATACTTCAACTAACGTAAGTAGCTTCCACTGGCATCCCCACTCCAATTACCAATATATAGCTCGTAACTATCACACACAAAATGGCGCCCATATTTTGAAATTTTCCTACAGTTGTACAAAATGGTCGTAGTAAATTTTTTTTCAAGGAAATGCCCATTTTTTCAACAAGCGAAAAGAGGAATAAAATTTGCTGACGAATCACTTGTAGAGGTGAAGTTTAACTCCTCTATCGTCGCCCTTGAGCCCGCCAATATCATCGAAATTTGTATTGCTATCATATGAATGTTAACATAGTTTGTTTTTTGTAATTTATATGCATTACATTATGATCATCATTTGCTCAGAACTTGACCTACATTCTATGTATGTGAACTTTAACTAAACGTTTAGAATACTTGTGACAATTTGAGTGTTATCTAGAATTAGGAAACCTGACAAGGTACAAATCAATTGACATCAAGTAAAGTTTTACCTGACTACTATTGACAAAGCAAATAAATGCTTTCCTTATTCTCGTCACATATTCAAACTTTGTTCAAACTGTTTGATTTGTCTATCTCAGGTGATGGATAAAGCGATGAATTACTTCGACAACGCGTACCGCTTGCCCGCGTTCAGGGTGGAGGGACGAGTCTGTCGCACCAATCTGCCATCCAACACAGCTTTCCGCTCGTTTGGCACTCCGCAGTCGATGATAATCACCGAAACACTCATGGACGATGTCGCAATCAAGTGCGGGATCCCTCAACATGAAGTAAGCGAAATGGAGAATCATGTCATAACGAATGATGCAACTACCGTATGATTTTGAAAATATTATCATATTTCTACATATTTACTATAGCATTTGCAAAATAATCATGTGAACATATCGGCGGTAAACAGATGGAGTTCTTGTAAAGCATATGTTTCATAAGTTTTAATCGGATGGTAAATATTACACGAGGAAATTAGCAAAATGATTAGGAGGTTATGAACTTGAAGGCAGGGTATTCTACAGATACTACTTTAGATGTTCATAAAATTATACTGTCATCTGTTGCTCACAATGTTCCGATATGTCAACAGCCATATAATCCTCGGGTACAGGAGCCGGAATTCGCTCTATGTACAACTACATCAAAAGATGGCGCATTTGAAAATATAGCAATGTCGGTAAAATTCCCTGCCTTTAAGAAAGTTCGTATTAAAAAATGGTATATTCATGTATCAATATAAAGGCATATCATCTAAACAATTTACTTAAAGGGGAAGTCCACCCTGAAATTAAGTTAGTTTTAATAGGAGTAGAAAAATGAGAGAAACAAGTCAGTGAAAGTTTGAGCAAATTCCGATTAAAAATAAGGAAGTTAGGATTTTTGAAGTTGTGATCAATCAAACACAAATTGGCAACTCTATGACGTATCATGCGAGCTCAACTTCCATTTGCTCAGTACTAAAAAAATCTAAAATTTTCATTTTCCCTCAAGAAAAATTTCAACCATACATGCACCCTAAATATAATAATTGCATATATGTTTCTATACTCCCCCTGCAAGGAACAAATATATATTCCGTCATCAATAACGAAGAAAACATGTATTTTTTAGAATATTATGCACAAAGCAAATGAAGGAGAGCTCGTATAATAAGTCACAGAGTTGCCAATTTGTATTTGATTGATCACAACTTCAATAATTCATAACTTTCTTATTTTCATTCAGAATTTGCTCAAACTTTCACTCACCTGATTTTCTTATTATTCTGCCTCTATCGAAACAAACTTATTTTGGGGGTGGACTTTCCCTTTAAATTCTACTAAAAATATATTTCTTTGTCATCAACATTTGAAATTTGTCATAGCTTTCTATTGTTCATTCTTCTTTTTTGTTTTCTTCATCAGATGAGAAAGATGAATTTCTACCAGGAGGGTGATGTCACACCTCAAAACCAGAAAATTGAGGATTTCACATTACCTCGTTGCTGGGATGAGTGCCTCACCAAAAGTGACTATGCCATGCGAAGGGAGGCTGTCGATTTATTCAACAGGTTCGTTCATAAATTGTCTTTTGGGGGATGTGGGGGGGGGGGGGGGGGTAACCAGCTATGCGTTAGGTACAGCAAAACTTAATATAGACGGGAGGATGTAGAAGAGTGTAAGCAAGACAAGGCAAGGACAAACAATGGCGAGAGTGAGAGAGAGAAAGAAAGTAAGAAAGAGAAAGAGAGAGAGAGAGAGAGAGGGGGGGGGGGTGTAAGAAAAAAAGATAAAAGCTATTTAATAAGAATGAAAATGGTCAGAACAACTCTTTGTTATATACCGTCACTATAATTGACACTACCCTATAGATAAAAGGCGTAACTTAAAACAAATTAATGTGTAGATTTATAACAATTTCGTGGTTGTTGCTATGTCGGGGAAATGCCAACAGGTTCTTAAGAGACGAGGTGGCCGAGTGGTTAAGGCGATGGACTGCTAATCCATTGTGCTCTGCACGCGTGGGTTCGAATCCCATCCTCGTCGTTTGCTTTACTATACTTTTTAAAAAACCTAGCAACTGTAGTACATGTATTGGAAATTTCTTGTCTTAGAACTAGTGGTCAAACATGTAAACATGCAAAATATTTGTTTTAAAGAGAATTATTTACCACTACTATGATGATTACAATGTTTAAACAAATAATCTTCAAATAATTTCATTTTTAAAAATCTCCCTAACACTGTAGGAATAATCGTTGGAAGAAGCGAGGACTTGCTATCATCCCTGCCAAGTTCGGCATTTCTTTTCACATAACACACTTAAATCAGGTGAGGCTGTCTTAGGTGTCCTACTGTCTACAAAAGCCATTTTGTTCTAAAGGGCCTTGCTATAGTTGTTTTCAACCGGGTGGTGTAAAAGGAAAATTCAAAGGAAATGAAAAGTGATGGGGTGTGGAAAACTCTTTTTTCATTCTCACCTCCCCTACCTTACTCAACGAGTCTTCCAAGGTCGGCGGGATTCCCGAAACCATATTCCAGGCAACGTTTCCAACCCCACACTGTTTTCTAGGATTCCTAGATCCGCTATAATTATTTGTTGATGATGTTTTATTAAACAATTCCTACCATGGTTGGACAAATATAGCGTCTAGAAATTATCACTGTGACAGTAATGCTTAGATTTTTTTTATTGTAAAAACATTGGTATGATATTGGTAGAGAAACAAATCATTTTTGACCATAATTATTATGATTCGTTTATGAATCTTGGGTGATATACTTTGAAGGCTGGTGTTCTAGTTCACATCTACACCGATGGGTCTGTACTCATCACCCACGGAGGCATGGAGATGGGTCAGGGTCTGCATACCAAGATGATCCAAATCGCTGCCAGGACTCTCGGAGTCCCCGAGGGGGAGATCCATCTGACAGAGACCAACACCACCAAAGTTCCCAATATGTCAGGGACGGCTGCCAGTACAGGGACAGATCTGAATGGAGGGGCAGTTAAGGTGAGAATGGAACTGAGGAAAGCTAGTCACTCACTGCACGGCGGCAGAAACATATCCGGCTAGCCAATGCCCCCTTACTCACTTTCCAACATATATACACATGCATTATCCATACGAGAAGGGGTATACCCCTACTACCTTCGATTTTGTTAATGCCTCTGCCCACCGAATTTGGTGCAATGCAGAGGCATTATAAATACGGGTTATACGTCTGTCCATCTGTCCATCCGTCCCACTAACGAATTAATTGAACGTTGTCTTCGGCATATTAAAGACGCAGCTGTCATGTCGGTATTACCTGTTAACTGCCACATTCCCATTACCAATATTTCATCATTTTTACACAAAATAACTTGATGTTAGACTTTACAAAGAATTGGGCATTGATAAGGCATTTTTTGAAGCGATACAGAACTGATGAACTTTCTGCACTAGCGTTATGTTTATTGCACAGGGCCATCGCGTGGTCAACTTGCCAAAAGTGCGTAACCCACTGAACTGTAATATTGATAAAGTCATATAGGTGAAAATATTATGATTAGGTCTACCATCCGGTATTGACATTCTAACAGTTTCACAACCATATGTTCGGGATATCAATTATTAACATGTTGTAAATAATTATTAATAATCGTTGGACATGCTCTGTTGAGAGTATGTACACTGTTGGTCATAATGGTGGAATCATTTTTTTTTTTACCCCAGTTTAGGCAAGGATTTTAAAAATTATTTATTTCTAATAGATCTAGATAATGGCATACATTCTCTGATTGTATTGAATAATTATTTGCTAGTGTTTATTTTGTGTGACTGCTAATTTACTATGCTAATCAGCTAGGGGACGTACGTCCTTAAGTCATAATTGACAGTAATGACGATTAATGCCTCACAAAAGGGCACTAACATAGCTGATCGACACGATTTTGATCCTGGGGCCTCACAGTAACTAGGCCATTGCTTAGCCACTGAATCATGATGGTACGCAGCGGGTGCTAGGGTACGCGGCCGCCCCCACAAATCCCAAAAAACGAAGAGAATGCAATAAATTATCCAAAATTCATTGCACTTTCCCCCGGTCCCCCACAGGAAAAATTACTCTGTGTGGCCATGCCTTGAACCATGTTGCATGGCCATACAGAATATTTGTTCCTGTTGGGGGCCGGTGGGAAATGCAATTAATTTTTGATAATTCATTGCATTTTCTTCGTTTTGGGGGATTTGTGGGGGCGGCCGCGTACCCTAGCAACCGCTGCGTACAGTCATGATTCAGTGGCTAAGCAATATGCCTCGTTACTGTGAGGCCCCAGGATCGAAACTGTGTCGATGTGCTATATTAGTGCCCTTTTGTGAGGCATTAATCCTCATTACTGTCAGTTATGACTTAAAGACGTAGGTCCCCTAGCTGATTACCCTAGTAGCACACACATGCCTTAGCAGTCACGCAAAACAAACACTCACAAATTATTGTTCAATAAAATCTGAGAATGTATACTATTATCAAGATCTATTCGAAATAAATCATTGTCAAAATCATTCCATAAATTGGGGTAAAAATAATTATTCCACCATTATGACCAACAGTGTACATATAATAAGTGAGCTGATTATGTTTGCACCTGTTGGTGTTTCAAGCATAGTTAAAATCCGTGACTCCATGTTCAGTGACTCTTTGTGTCTCAGTTTACAAATTAAATCATCTTCTGTTATTATTTTAAGATAAACCATGTTCTTCGTTTCATTACTTCTGATTTTTAGAAAGCTTGTGAGACTCTGAAACAAAGACTGGAGCCGTTTATGTACGCCAACCCGAAAGGCGATTGGAAAGCATGGGTAAGGGCAAAATGAGTAGCTCTTCATATTTGACTTATCGTATCTTGAATATTGTAGGTCGTATGATGAAATATTTTGGTGGTATTACTTGCCATAAGAAAAGTTGTTTATTATTTGCTCAAACAATGTTCGAGATTATAGCCACATCTTTCTCTTGAAAAAAGAAATTATAGATACTCTTGATTCAATTAAAAATTGATGGGAAATTTCATCATTGGAGGCGTACGTGTTACACAACCATCCCAATTTTATGACCTATTTAGTACTTTTAAATAATGATTTAGTAGGATGATTGATTAATTCAGTAAATATAAATTTATAAAGGAAAAGTGCATCCTTTTGATGAACAAACTATATTTGACACATTCCCTAAGTAAAATATTAAATTTATTTTACAGGTCGAAGCAGCTTATAACGATCGTGTGAGCTTGTCGGCAACTGGATTTTACAAGTGAGTCTCCAAACAGCTACATTATCAAGTAGTGCCTCCTTGGCTGCGATATACATGTGAAAATCTATACTCTGGCTCTATCAGTGAACAAGTAAACTCGTAGAATGAAATGACAAGTAGGCCTCTTAAATTTGTTCATTAGTTGGATGCGTGTACTACAGATTTAATCGACAAAATTATATCTAAATACAATGAGACCTTTGTGTAAAACCAAAACAGATGTGAAGGTAATATCTTCAGCTATAGACGGCCCATACTAAATTTACCGCATATTCTCATTTCCGTTTTAAATAAAACATGTAGAGATAAAATTAACTTTCTTTTGATAATATAATTCTGTATCCAATGCTGCGCAGGACACCAGATTTGAACTATGATTTCGAGAAAAACGAGGGCAAGCTCTTCCCTTACACTACGTACGGTGTCGGAGTCTCCGAAGTCGAGATCGACTGCCTGACTGGTGATCATCGAACTCTCAGAACCGACATCGTCATGGATGTCGGGGAAAGCATCAACCCTGCCATCGACGTTGGTCAGGTCAGTTCGTCCATTTCACTCAAGAAATCCATTTGTTTCCTCACTTTTTTCCCCAATATTCCAAGATGACATTTAGCACTGCACATTAGATTTCATATAGAATCATTTTTCTTACTTGATATGACTTTTGTAATTTCCACTCTTCCGTTTTACTTGCAAACAAACGTCTATATGTTGGATGCTTCTATTTAAAAAGTGGACATTGAGTTTCATTCAGAAGAATACATATTGATGATTTATGTTTTGGTACTTTTGTAAAGGTCGTAATAATATAATGGTGATTAAAAAAAAATTGGTTACTATATATTAGTATTTCATCGCAGCTACTATCAGTTTTATTTTCAGTATTGAAAGTTTTATTGAGTTTTGGGAATGGAAGGGGGGGGGGTTTAGACCAGGGCCCTGTTTTATAAAACTTGTTATCAATATCAAGTTACAATTATAGCTGTTATAAGGTACTGAAACCGTGGTATTTGAAAGAAGAGAACAACTTTGTCAAAGTAATTTATCATTTGTTATTGATAACAAGTTTATGAAACATCTAGGGCCAAGTTTTACCTTATGCTGGAAACCCCACTGCTTCTCTCACACACTTAGATGACCAGAATAGCAACCTCATTTCATTCTCACTCGAACACATTGCAGATAGAAGGGGCCTTTATCCAGGGGTATGGTCTGTTTGTCATGGAGGATCTACGATGGTCACCTAATGGTCAGCTCTTGACCAAAGGGCCTGGGTACTACAAGATACCAGGGTTTGGTGACGTGCCATTAGAGTTTAACGTGACTCTTCTCAAGAACTCATCTAACCCTGACAACATCTGCTCATCTAAGGTCAGTTTGAATGGAGAGCTGGTCGTTTCACTTGACTTTCAGCTCAACGTACCGATCAATCGTGACGGCCCATGAGACCGAACGGCCCATTAGACTGACATCCAACGAGACCGACAGTGTGACTCGATCTTGCGATCTCTTGGACAATAACATGAAACTGACAGCCCATAAGACTGACAGCAAATGAGAGCGACAGTGTGTCTCGATCTTGCGATCACTTGGATAATAACATGAGACCGACAGCCCATAAGACTGACAGCCGATGAGACCGACAGTGTGTCTCGATCTTGCGATACACTTGGATAATAACATGAGACCGACAGCCCATAAGACTGACAGCCGATGAGACCGACAGTGTGACTCGATCTTGCGATCACTTGGTAAAGAATTCGACAGCCCCGCGATACCAACATGGCCGGCTCATGGACAGTAGCTAATAAAAAGAGTGGGAATAACTAGGGCATAAAATGTAAAACATCCCCCTGATTTCACCTTTTTAATTAAAGAAAATCTCGTGTGTTGAAGGGGCGTTGGCCCATCTGACAGTTGGGGGGGATGAAATCTTCACCTTATACATATCAAGATGGGATATAATTGCATATACATTTCAGACAGGCGCGTACACATTTTGCTCCGTTGGGGGGGGGGTAAGGTCAGCTTTTTTAGGTCAACCATGGGAATATTTTTTTTTTTTTTAATAAAAAAAAAAAAAAAAAAAAAAATCCAAAAGGGGGGGGGGGGGGGGGGTTTAGAGAAATTTAGGGGGGGGGGTTTACTCACAAAAAATTACCAAAGGGGGGTTTAACCCCCCAAACCCCCCCCTCCCCCTCTGTGTACGCGCCTGATTTCAGATATTGGAAGGCAGCTACCGGATGTAACCGACCAGCATGGTCAGATAACGTTAAAAAGGTGATAAAAAATGGAAAGAAAAAGCGTTGCCAACCGCTGCTAGTGAAAACGAAATTTCTAGTTTGGGAGAGTTAGTTCTCCAAATAGTATCGACGAGGGTAAAAAGATATAAACACTATACTATGACGAAAGTTAGGTCGTGCTTCAAACTTGCTAAGTTTTTGATTGACCATGTAATATAACAATCAAAAACAGGCAAAGAGAATCACAAGTTGGATAAAAATCCCAAAATATGTAACTTCCCTGACGATAAAACATTCAACAACAAAAAACAAGCAAACCAGCAGATCAACAAAAACAGAAACAATTAAACTCAAGAAACAAAATCGAAATGCAACGAGAGGGCTCTGTATGATTGACTGATTATCTCACACAAACACACAAATACTCAAAACAGGAAATAACGAAAAAGAAGTATTACACATGACTGGTGGTTTATTGAATCTCCCATTTACCAACTCGAATACGTATTATCACACATTTACATACTAATGAATGTATAAATAATTTATAATAGTCAAAGTTCGTAACAACATGTAACGCTTCGTCTAAATTTGCCTTTGTTCCGACACAAGACTTAGTTTTCCCAATACAAACCCTTATACCACATACAATCCTTCGAGAAACAAATTGATTGTATCGGAAATATGTCGCTAGTGATATTCGTTTGTCTCGCAATGTATGGTCAACAAGAGATCTAAAAGATCACGACGTTTCGTGTGCCGCTGCAACACTTCGTCGGGTGATAAATAATTGTATATACTCTGATTTGTCTGTACTACTACGTAGGCTTGCGGTGAGCCGCCTCTCTTCCTGAGCTCTTCAGTATTCTTCGCTATCAAGGACGCCATGATGTCAGCTAGAACAGATGAAGGATTGACTGGTGTCTTTCGGTTAGACAGTCCCTCGGTAGCTGAACGGATCAGACTCGGCTGTGTGGACCAGTTCACCAGGATGGTAGGTTCTTCATGATATAATAGTGGCGTAGCTGCAGGAGGCAAATGGCAAACAAAAAAAAGGGGGGAGAGGGCAATGTAGAAGGAAAGGGAGAGGCAATGTGAAATAAGTTGACATAATCCCTTCGAACACCCTCCGATTAATCTATAGCCTTGTTCTATTGCATGCTAATGTTATTACCATGACAGATGTGGTGCCTCTTTTGTTTCCCGATGACTACAGAGCCCCCTTAATGTCTGGAGCCATGCTATGCCATTGATCTATAATGTATAATAAATCAAACGCAACATTATATTATCAAAATAGGTATGAAATTATCGAGTTCAGATATGAATGTTACATTATGTTTTGATATCTGAATTTAATTCTCGGTGTTGGTTCGTTTATTGAAACATACTAAGGGAATGTACGTTTTGGATTGTGTTACGACTGGTTGAATTTTAATTCGTTTAGTGCGAGATCGAATCATCAATTTTTTAATCAACCAGTCGCTATATAAAATGAATGATGTTTTATTTTATCCATAAAGGAATCCGTTATAAAGCATTCTGTTCTTATTCACATTCCTAATCCGTTTTTTCTCCTTCCCTCCCTCCTCATCCTCCTCTCTTTCTCTCTCTTCCTCACTCACCCCGTCTCATTCTTTACTCGCTCCCTCTTCATTTCTTTTTACCATTGCTCAGTTCCCTTCGCCTGAACCAGGAACCTTCGAACCTTTCTTCGTCCGACCGTGAGGATTCAAGGGACAGCCAAATGTCATACAACAGCACGAAGGATAATGTTGATAATTTTCCGCGTTTATATAGCGCTTAATACATTGACGATGTCTCTTTTAAGCGCTTAACAGATATATCATTATATACCCCGATCATCGGATTGCCCGCACACAATGTATGAACATTTTCCACTCCCTGGGGAACAATTAAGTCAGGTGCCATTTACAGATGCTAAAGCAAACGTTCTCATCCTACCGAGTACCCATTTAACACCTGGGTAGAGAGTGGCAAATGTAGATTAACGTCTTGCCAAATAATTTAGTGCCGGGCTGGGCTTGTAGAAACAGCGATGCCTCTCATAGCAGTCAATAAATATGGATTTTTCAGAAACAAATGTATTTCCAGGCTTCAAACAGCGAATGGACCGGTTGCCGACTTAAAAGATATTCTCGTGGAAGAAAGGTTGTTTACCTCGATCTATATGCATCTAGTGATAAACAAGATTTTCCAGGTGAATTCATTAATCAAGTTGATTAACCTAAACTGGATATCAAAGACATTTTTCTTGAGGTGATCTAATTTCAGAGAAAGAGTGCTATGAAACTATTACAACTTTAAAAAATGATAAGTCATCGGGATCGGATGGACTTCCCATAGAGTTATATAAAATATTCTGGTATATCAAAGACTTGTTATGTTCGGTTTACAATTCCTTTTTGCTTTATATTATTTGTTGTGACAGTGCACTTCAATTACTTTTATCACTCAAGTCATTTGTTTATTGTACAATTGATGCATGACATGAATAAATATATATTTGTAATAGCACTTCCTCAGGCAATGTGCCTAGTATAGCGCCATCTATTGCTATTCACTTGATATTAAACACTCAAAAGTCTACATGAACATGGTTGTGTTGAGGTTCAAGGATCTCCTTTTTGCCAGCGCATCGTGGGGATTTCATTCATAATATTGTCATTAAGTCAGGCAAAGAGGTTAGTTTTGTTATATATTTACTGTATTTTTATGAATTGTCAAAACATAAAGTAGAAATTAGTGTGTGTGTTTTGAACTTCATACTGAGAGATGTTGATGTGTGTAGTATGTAATGTAATGCAAGAAATACAAGTCCATGCTGATTTAATATGATGTATGTACATTTTACATTGTATTAAGAACAATGATAACAGTGATGATACTGCTAACTAATTTGAAGATATATTATGCTGAAGCACTAGGTAGAGATTTGGAATGTATTATTGTCTAGTTAATCGTTTAAACAAGCTATAGTGAAGTCTAGTTGAGACACTTGTAGTGTGAGTTTGTATTTATGTAAAGCCATAATGCAGATGTAACTAGAAACCCCCCCCCCACCCAGTGTTATTTAGGGTACGCATATGCGTGTTCCCAGCGACCCCCCTCCTTTTCAGCAAAAGTCCGGTGTGTAAAGTCAATACGGGTCGACCTTTTTCTTTTGTTATACGAGCCTTTTTCAGCACCCACCCCCCCCCCCCTTTCAGCAAAAGTCCGATGTGTTAAGTCAATACGGGTAGACCTTTTTCTTTTGTTACGAACCGGACACGCATGGTATCCCTCCGTTCACGGAGTGGGGGGGGGGGGGGGGGACTAGAATAGTGACTGGGGTTATTTTAATAGGTTATGAAGATCATGACACAATATACATTATTTTGTGATTTCTCAAAGAGACTGTGATATTGCTATATTGATGATGCTATGATGTATTTGTATTTATGATTCTTTATCTGTGTCGTTATTCCACAGTTTTCACGGAATGAAACGGAATGAAATGGTTACTCCAATCATTAAAGGTACGAATTCCCGTAGAAGTCTTTGTTCAGACTTTTTATTTGTTATCGACCTCGCTGCAGCCACATTACTCTTCCGGTATGTTATCTATGCGAACAAGTATTATTACTTTGTTACAAAACATTTGTAAAATGGAAAATATTGATGGTTTAGCTTTGAGTATTGACTTTGACAAAAAACTTTTGATATGAATGACTGGAATTTTCTGTACGATGCTCTTCATATATTTGGATTAGACCAGTATTTTATATATTGGGTGAAATTACTGTATACATTTAAAGAGAGATGAGTTATTTGAGATAAAGCGTGGTGTAAGACAGGGATGTCCATTGTCTCCATATCTTGTTATTATTGCAGTTGAAATACTTGGTTGTTCCGTGAGACAAAATAAAGACATTCACGGGTTAAAAGTATTAAATGAGGAATAATATGGCGTCGATGTGCCCCCCTAAATTTCTGTTTTAAAAAATCAGGAATTAAAGTGTCAAAAAATGACCTTGTAAGTTTTCTCGAAAGTTTTGCTGTCGTTATCGTAGATTTATCTTTATGATGTTGTTTTCTTATTTGTTATACATCTTATGACAAGGCCACGTATAAAATTACCATTACTGGTGAGCATTAATACGCTCTTTTCACAAATATAGCGGTAAGTACGTCGATATGCATCCCCTCAATACAAAGGATAACAGAATGGATGGTTATAGCGTTAATGGAGGAACATACCTGGAAGAATTGCACCCCTTTGACTGGCCCATCTTTCAACGCAGCTATGGCACTCTTGTTGATGGAAGATGTTGCCAGGGAAAAATTGTCAGTCTGCAATTTCACCAGAAGCAAAAAGTAACAACAAATGTTGCCTCATGCAGTTACTCAGATAGAGCTAGAGAATAAGGACTATAGGCTGGGTTTAATTATGATTCAGATCACTGCTAACATTTTCGTGAACAATGACGAGTACGAGATTTCCCGCTTTGTAAATCAAATATTTTGGAGACTTCCAGCGTCACTACTATGACTGTATTACATTAGAACACATTTTATTGACAAATTTTTGTTTTAAAATTTTCTTTTCCAACATTTACGTATGGTATTTTCTATCACTGTGACGGTGCATAAATTTCTATTTCCATCATAAGTGAGGAAATTACTTATTAGAGAACATTTGGAAAACCATCAGTTTTGGGCCAAAATGGGAAGGGGTTAGCTCATTGTTTTTGCGAAAAAGATTGAAAATTTGCCTTTTCATTTATTTGGTCTCAACTACAATGTGTTAGGTTGTCAAAATCACTGACTTTGATTTAAAAGTGTGTTAGGGCAAATTAGAGAAAACTTGGAAAATCATCAGTTTTTGGCCAAAATGGCAAGGAGTTGTTAGCTCATTGTTTTTGCGAAAAGATTTTTTTTTAATTCTTTTTGTTTATTTGCTTATTTGTAGCATGGTGAAAATGAAATCAGGGGATGCCAAAGAAAAAGATGGAGAGATGAGCTGCAACACAATACTGGGAATGGCTAATTGGTACCAACAGGCACTGAACAGAGTCATTTGGAGACAGCATGCTGAGGCCTTCATTCTGCAGTGGATCGATAATGGCTGAAAAAGTAAATAAAGTAAGAAATTGAAATTGCTTATTTTCTACATGGTGAAACTGACATTGCTTATTTGTTGCATTGTCACTCAAGCCATTTGTTTATTGTACCATTGATGCATGACATGACTACATGCGTATTATGTAATAGCACTTCCTCAGGCAATGTGTCTATGATAGCACCATCTATTGCTGTGCTTGTGCATGTAGTTGGCTGTGTTGTGAGGTTCAATTATAAGGGTTACCCTTTTGTCAGCGCATCATGGGGATTTGAGTCATAACATTGTCATTAAGGCAGGCAGACATATTAAATGTCTTTTTATGAATTAATTGTCACAACAAAGAGTGGGTATTAGTGTGTGTGTTTTGAACTTCATACTGAGAGATGTTGATATTAGTATGTAATGTAATGTAATATAAGTGTGGATAACCCAAAAGACAGAAGAAATACAGTTCTAATAATATTTTCAACAGGTTAATTCAAAGGACTAGCTAACATTAACGTGGTTTATTTTAAAACGCTTAAGAAATGCCTGAAATACAGGCGCGGTCCAGGGGGCAAGCGTGGCGAAATGAAAAAGAGAGAGAGAAGGAAAAGAAGGGAAAGGGAAAGGGAAAGAAAGAAGAGGAAGGAGAAAAGAAAGGGGGAAGAGGGCTTTGCCTCCCCCTCCCCCTTCCCAGCAAAAAAGAAAGAGAGAAGGAAGGTAAGGGAAAGACAACAGGAAAAGAGGAGATAAAGGGAAAGAAAATGAAGAAGAAGAAAAGAAAAGGGGGAAAAGAAAGGAAGATCAGTTGCAATTTTCCCCACCAACAAGGTGCCATGATGGGGATCGGGTGGGGGGGGGGGGGCGGGGGAGTGGGCATTACCCCCCTCTCCACTTACAAAAAAAAGGGAGAGAAGGAAAGGAAAGGGAAGTGAAAAAAGAACGAAAAAGGGTGGAGGGGGAGCCAATCACAAATACCAAATAAAAAGCAATGAGCAAACAAACGAATAAATAAATAAATAAATAAATATATCAGAAAATAAAAAGATTCAATGAGATGACCTCCACTTATCACCTTATTAATCAATCATGATATAACCCCTTCTATCTTACTTTCTCTATCACCGATTTCAATCTTATCCCCTCTTTCTAATGTTACTCTCTTCCTTACTTAAGAGGACACTATTTTTAATTTTTTTTTTAGTCTCGAAATTTGAAAATTGACATTTTTCTTCGTTGGGGGGGGGGGGTAAGGTCACCTTTTAGGTGAGCCATGGGCATTATATATATATATATATATATATATATATATATATATATATATATATATATTTTTTTTTTTAATTAAAAAACAAACAAAACAAAACAACAGAAACAAACAAAGGGGGATCCTAAAAAATACACACATAAAAATACCAAGGGGGGGGGGGGGGGTTCAAACCCCAAACCCCCCCCCCCCCCCCCCCCCCCCCCTGCGTACGCGCCTGATGAAGGCATTTGAAGAGCCATGCTTTTCAGGGAACTTTTTTTCGCTGATGTTCTTCCACACTTGCATTATAACAAGAATGATACCGCTCGCAAATTATTTTCACTTCTCCCCAGAAATAACCTTTTTTCAAGACTTTAGGAATAGTGGTCAAGTTTCAGATTAGGGTTTGTGCCTGCAGACTACTACATGGTCATGAGGAAGCAATCAAGATAGATTTTAAATGTGTTAAAACGAATTTTGATATTTAGTCATGATACATTTTTGAGTTAGTACAGGATGATGTGCATATGAAGAGGTTTGTACATGATCCCTTACACTTGTTGTTTAAAGCAAATCCTATGATGTCATGGTCAAGTGTATATGTCACCGGACTGTGGATCACATGGTTTGCTGTTGAGTCATGCCGTGGCACTAATGTCCTTTATAATAATAATAATAATTACAGTGCTTATATAGCGCCTAACACTTACTTTGTCAGAAGTCTCTAAGCGCTCTACAATAATGCAGCATAATTACCCTGGCTTTAGCAGTGCAGCTGTTACGCGCGCTGCGTTTCAAGGAATAAATTCCAACCAGGTACCCATTTACTTCACCTGGGTGAAGTGTGAAGTCCTTTGGCAAGGTATTAATCTACATTGCCACTTCCCATCCAGGTGAAGTAAATGTATACCTATAGGAATGTATTCCTCGAATGCTTCTAGAGCCTTGGCGAAGTTGGGTTAATAATACTACATTATTCAATTGTATTGACTGTATTCCATCTTGTTAACTCATCTTGTTTTCTTTTTCTCTTTTAGGCCGTTGCAATTAGCGAGCGGAAGAACGGATCCAGACTCCACTACGAGATGAAATTCCTCCAGTACGCCCAGTCCAATCAGTGCAAGCTTCAAAGCGATAGTTCAGTCAGCTTAGAGTACCTCTTTATGTAGGTACTCTAAGTCAGCTATGCGGCTACTGCCCTCACCATGAGCTTTTACAACTTCAGTCTGTGTTACGCCCTCTGTATGTCCGTATTTAAGCTCTGAACCCTGTTTCAGAAAGTATGGTCTTTTTGTACAAACTTCATGAATGATGCTCTATAGACTCTTTTGCCACTCACAATGGCTATACCCTAGTCACTCCAACAAGACCGACACCAGACCTTCAACAGACAGAACAAAAAATATCTGTAACCCGAGTGGCCACCAAGTGGTCAGTTTGGAGTTTTGTGTAGTGACTGAGGTTTACATGTTGATGGAAATGTCACGCTGAGCTCAAAAAATACTTTGAATACTCTAGGAATTTTGAAAAGAAAAACAATTAAATTAGATTAATCTGATCACTGACATATCTGAAATGTTTCGTATCGCAATAGTTTCTGGTTTCATAATACTTTGGAAAGAAAATTGATTACTTGGCTGTTTCTGAAGAAAATAGTATTTGTATATTACTGTGCTAGCTACAGGCTGAACACAAGTCACTTTTGGTGCTTAGGGTAAATTCTGGACTTTGAATCAAATTTGTGCATCAGGGCATCACTTTATCAGGACTGGTACTTACTGGTATGAAGGTTTCTAGTACAATTTTGTGGATATCCCTTTGAAACTTGTGTATTAAAATTAGTACGCATTCCAATGGGATGTTGGCAATGTTTCATATTCTAGATCCATTCTTCAGAAATGTGTTTCTTTAAATAATTAATTTGTCAGATGCAGGGCTTCTTATTCGACGTGTTATGTTAGTTGGTATTTTACTTTATTGATGTGTCAATCTTTGGATATGCATATATATCCATTTTCTGTGTAATGTATTTATTTTGTTAGGATTTAGAATGCAAGTTTTTGAAGTAGGAATGAACTTTGTTTGTTGAGATGTATCAAATCATTTATTGAAAATTGATAGCTTGCCTTCGTCACTTCCACTGTAAATTTCACAAAAGATGAATCATGGATTACTTCCATATTTTCTTTCAGTAATCTTGTTAGTGAACTCATTTAATCATTGACAATAAATTAAGGAGGTTTTCAAAATTTCATGTGATATCAAAATAGGATCCACTCAAGAAAGCGAAATTGCAGGACATTTCTTTTATCATCATGCTCTTTTGTTTTCTCTCTCTCTCATAAATCCCCAAGAGATATCTGTCCAGATGCACTGAAAGAATGTATTTCTTGGTTTTAAAAAAAGGCTACTTAGGTGATAAAGCTTTGAAATGTTGAATTTTTGGACCTCGATTTTCCATTGGCAGTTTGAGAAAAAGATGCTTAGAATAATGTGGGTGTCAATTCAGTAACTATGCATCTGTCATGGCAATGGGGGTTAAAGGTTCACTCAGATATGATGCGATAAACTGCGCTAAAGAATGCTCATTTTTTTAAGAACATGTAAATCAATGGCAACTGCGTGCAACAAAGGGCCTGCGTGTATTCACCAAGGTGTGTTTAAAAGAAATGTAGAGCGTTTTACAACTTTACATCAACAAAAAAATGCTGCACTTTTTGCTGCATCATATCTGAACAAGGCTTACTGGGAGGACTGGAATTGTGGATGGACCAAACTTGCTGTTACTCATATTAAGCAGTTATGGTCAACATTTTATGGCACATGTATTGAATCTTTGTTCTACTGATCACTTGTTCAAGGTAGTGTCATTGACTTGAAAAGTACCTGCAGGTGGTGTTATTGGGGTAATATTCCAGATTTAATGATGTAGATCTTTTTTTTGTGGTATCGGTGGTAAAGAAGAGAGAACAAAAAGTCTCAATTAATACTGTTGTTTACCATGCACAATTTCGGTGAGCCCCCCTCAAAACAAAAACAACAAAAAATAATACTGAAGAAAAAAAATTAGTAAATAACTTGACACATTTTTGCCCGTATTTTTTCCAGATTCATGGCTTCAGTTGAGAAATAATAAGCTACAGGCACAGCTTGTGGAAAGTTTTTGTTCCTCAAATTTGAAAAGCATATATGAAGTGTGTTTTTTTCCTTGTGCTTTCAAAATTTTCAAACGTAATAGTATTTATCTCACACACCTATTGTGAAACGCCAACAAATTGGCACAAGGCTTTGTTTTTATTAAAACTTGATATCAATTACAATAGCCATGGATCTATGACAAATTTGCTTGTAGCCAATCAAATGCAGGGATTTCTTAATAGGTTATATCAATTATTGGAACTTGTGATGGATAACAAGGGGGCCAACTTTTCAAGTCAGTGACACTATCTTGTCAAGTAACTGTAGAATATGGAATATTTGAATCAAATACGATATTACTATTGAATGCAAATGAAATTATGTATACAAAGCTCAAAGATATTCTATTCACAGGCAGCCATTGACGGGTGACATGGATGTAGATAATAAACAATAAAACAGAATATTATTGCATTGGTATTAACGACAAAGAGAAGGTAAGTTGTAGTGGTTTACTTATGAGATCTGGTGGTATCACTTCATAGTCAAAGGTGTAACACATGATCGCTAGCGAATTCAAAGATGGTCCCCAAGTTTGAAATCTTTGTGGAACATTTTCCATAAAATATGTCTCCTTTTTTTGCATAAAAACAAGTAGAAACAAAATTGGGCTCTTGCGAGAAGTACCCTATTTTTGAAAAAAAAAATGCGGTACCCCCTTTGCCAAATCTGCAATCATTTCAATGTCAGTGAAAATCCCTGAAAATTTAAAATTACCCTCTTTTTACATGGCTTTTCTAACTATCATGTGTAGACAGTTAATATAAAGTGACACCATCAGGCTTGGAGAATAATTACTTTATGCTCTATGGGTACTTTGTAATAGACAGGATGTGATATAAACATTTTCACAAGGAATTTAGTGGAGTCTCCTATTTTGTCATGAGCTTAAAAATTGCTTAAATTGTGCAAGGATAAAACTGATGTACAATTTTTATTAGCTCCCCAAGGAGATTCCAGCGGCCCAAAACTAGTTCAAATCTTTTTCTGCAAACTCATGAATTGGAAAATGCATATATTGATATAGATACTCTAAAATGGTAGACTCCCATAAATCGGAAAAGGAAACCAAATGTTTATTACTTCTCCCCCACCCCTGTATTTACCCAGGTTACCCCAGAGCATAGAGTAAGATGGTATGAACTGGTAAATTTGCTTTTACTGAGATTTTATGAATTCTGAAAAACAATAACTTCCAAAAATGGTAATATCAGATAGAAGGGGAAAATATTTCATTAAACGAAAATCTTGGTAAAAGCAAATTTTCTCAGACAAAACACTAAATGCACTGAGCTTTTGGGAGTTTGCAGTTGATTAAACTGCATAACCATCAAGAGCTTGGTGCATAATAGACAGAAACAACACAAAGTCGATGTATTCAGTTATGGGGGAAAGACAAATTTATTGCAAAAATATAAGTTACAGAGAGTACATGTGTCTTTGATTCTTTATGCAAATAAAATGTTAAGTAACAACATGAATGATTTCCTGCATTTGTTTTTATTGTCTGGAGTACAGGCTACCCCTCTGTTGTCACCACAAACAAAAAAAAAATCCCCAGACATCATTTGCATATATAAATATTCATTACCATCTGCCCCAACAATTCAGCACCTTATGCAGATATCCCACGAAGATAATATGACCAATGCCACAATAGCAGACCGGTGTTCATTTTCCAGAAGTAAAGCTTAAAAGGCAGATGAAACAATGGAAGCAAAACAATAACTGCAATCTGAGATTTCTAGCCTAGCTTCCAGGATAAAGGAGTTTTCTCACTCTCGAGGAAAATATGATGGGTTGCCCCTGGAATTAGACTAACAGCCCTGCCATTTCACCCCTGTAGAGCACGAACAGAGTGTTGTAGAGAGAGCGACATGGCAGGGATTTTAGTCGAATTCCAGGGGCAACCCATCATATTTTCCTTGAGAGGGAGAAAACTCCTTTACCATCGAAACTAGGCTAGAACAGTCCTGGTCAAATCACCTTGAGACAAAAGAAGAAAGCTGAAAGGTTTTTAAGGATTAACCAACAATAACACAGTAGACTGGCATTCTAAAAAGCGAGTCCAAACTTGGGATTTCATGATGGGAAATCTTCAACAGCAATCAATAATCAAACCATCTTGAATCAATACAAAGTAATATCATTAATCAGTTGTTCAATTCTGATGTCAATTTCATGGATTTTAATCACTTGAAAGTGAATTTTAAAAATTGATTCCAAACATTCAAAGACATGTTCAACAATGCAATGACTTTTGTGTGTTCTCCTCCAAAGGTATCATAACCCACTGCTGTCTGCACTCCTTCGAGTATCTTTGCTTCTCTTTTTAACTCTATCAGTTCCTTGTGCTTTCTTCCCTTTCCTGCCTTTGGTTTAAGTACTCATCCTTCCAAATCAATTTTAACATCAAATATTTTGTCAGACCTGTCTCATATTATGTACAATGCGCTGAATCATCTGTGTATGCAACTAACACTTCATCAGGGGCATACACATACAGTTATTATCACAGGGCATAGAGTACACCTTTGAAAAGAAAGAAAAGATCAAATTTAATTTGATGGAAATTAATGGACACAATAAACACCAATTTCAAAGTTCGAATGGAGATGCATAAAATGGAAGCCTTAAATCTACTGTAAGGGTTTGAAATTATTTCCCATTTTGTAATAAATGCAGTTTGTAGTTTATTTTACTTTTATATTTTAATGTCACAAGTGCATGTTTGAAAACATTGTACAGAAATTTACTCCAAATTTTTGAAACTTAAGTTTGATAGAAGTTTTGTTTTAGTTTGTTGTTTGTTTGGGATTTCTTAAAGACTGTTTTGACATCTTTTAGTTTTTCAACATAATTTAATTTGGTATTACGAGTGGTACCCTGTCACAGACTTTTTGTATAATGTAATATTGTAAGAGATGCACTGATATAGCTACTATACAAATATATCACCCATGATTACATATAAAGTGTATTTTGGAGTATTTTTGTAGTAAGATTGTATAACTTTAGATTAAAGGCATCGTTTAACAATGTTAAATCTGAGATGCATGGCCCTACGTGTTATCAGTGTCTGTGATATGGTGTAATATTGAAGCCCTAACAAAATTGCGCTTCAAAATGATCATGAAGTGCCTCAAAAAGTAAATAATCTTTGACTGACCGGTTTTACCATACTCATTTCCCACAATAGACTGTAGTGTCATAATGAAATTTCGATTTTGATTCATAAATATCTTGATAATCAGATGGCGATCAGCTTGTAAAGGTCATGGGGTTCCTGACTGACCTAAAGAT